TTGGATGAATATCCTAACACCATTCAAAGGATCACATCTTAGTTATTTGTGTAAGATTGATTAGTGATTAGAGATGGATTAATGGACACGCGTTTTATCGTCTTTTAGGATTCGTCAGTTGAATGTCACTGCAACATACATACCAAATATCAGTCAGAGTTAATCAGTAACAACGACATTAGCACGAAACGCGATTGGTAGTTCAAATCCCATAGTGATAGAGATATAGGTAGAAGTGTTACTGATAATGGAGAAGATTAGGGTTCGAAGATATGACTCAAGAAGAATAATTCAGTGAGATCAACTTAGAAAGAGAAAGACAGAGGTGATAAAGAATTCAGGAGATTAAAATTTAAGGGCGGAAATAAAGAGTAAATGCACGTGCACCATTGGAACTGATTTTGAGCCCTATCTTTTAAGGTCTCTAAAAATTGGGTTACTATCGTCTGGCGAACCCCAGTCAGTCTATTGTCAATGACTTCATGGATTTATACCATGTTTTGGTTTGGCCGCCCTTACACACCATACCAAATGGGACTGATTACAATTTCAGTTCTAATTATCAATAAGAAAATATCCCATTAGCCAATATAAATAAATTAAGCTTCACTTCATTTGCATACAAATCCTTAGCTAGAGTAGATAACTCGATGGCGTTTTAAGTGTCACAACCTGCACGTAATACTTCAACTTTGATATACTGGAACCATTACGAGTTTAGTTAGGTCGGAAAAAAATGAGAGCGAGGATCCCGGCGGCACGACATGCTACTCAAATCCGATTATCTCAACCCCCATATTTAGTTAAAATAAAGAAGTAGAACCTGTATTCTACAAGCATCCAGAGAAGTATGAGGTCCGAATCCAGAAGAATAAGGATCCGGGACCGAGCCCTGGTCGTGGTCATAAAACGTTACAAATGAATGCGTATTTATACATTTAGGTCGAATAGGAAACAGCATCGAAGTCTGTGACATTGACAGTTAAACGACCTAATAGGAAGCAACATTGGAATTGACATCGATAGTCAGGACAACCAATAAGAAACCACATTTGAGTACGTGACATTGATATCTAGGGCGACCATAAAATTAACCAGTACGAATTAACCAATAGGAATCGACCAATAAGTTCTCTTAGGATATTGGATGAATATCCTAACATTAAGACAAAACGTTACTAAGTTCACGTCTCACAGTAAACATCAATTCCACAATCCAGGTACATTTCATCTTAGTGATGCTACTGTTAACCATTCATCTCTGCTACTGATAATAATAATAATCTTTGTAACTTCAAAGACAATACAATCGTTCATTCAAACAATCAAAATAACATTGAAATATATTAAAATCATGAATCGATCAATGTTAGACCACAATCGGAAACCTAAAAGCACTAGATGGCCGTTTCGTCTTGGTATAGAGGACTACTACTATCAGAGGCAGCACAGTGCGCATCCACGATTCCTGCATCTCGCAGGTTTCGAAGCCAGGACCATTCAGTCTTGCAAGGTACAGGAATCGTGAATGCGCACTGCCTGCTGATGAAGAGTAGTCCCTATACCAGGACGATAACGACCGGTCCAATGGTGCTTCTGTCTTCTTCCAGGTTTTTTAATGTTGGTGTCTAACATTGATCGATCGATTGATGATTTCAAATGTGTAACGTAACAAATTTTCACAACCCATCGTAGTGAAATAATTAATTGTTTAAATTATTTATTTCATTACGATGGGTTGTGAAAATTTGTTACGTTACACATTTGAAATCATCAATCGATCGATCAATGTTAGACCACCAACATTAAAAACCTGGAAGAAGAAGAAGCACCATTGGACGGTCGTTTCGTCCTGGTATAGGACTACTCTTCATCAGCAGCAGTGCGCATTCACGATTCCTGTACCTTGCAAGACTGAAGGTCCTGGCTTCGAAACCTGCGAGATGCAGGAATCGTGGATGCGCACTGTGCTGCTGATGAGTAGTAGTCCTATACCAAGACGAAACGGCCATCTAGTGCTTTTAGGTTTCCGATTGTGGTCTAACATTGATCGATTCATGATTTTAATATATTTCAATGTATTTTGATTGTTTGAATGAAAGATTGTATTGTCTTTGAAGTTACAAAGATTATTATTATTATCAGTAGCAGAGATGAATGGTTAACAGTAGCATCTAAGATGAAATGTACCTGGATTGTGGAATTGATGTTTACTGTGAGACGTGAACTTAGTAACGTTTTGTCTTAATGTTAGGATATTCATCCAATATCCTAAGAGAATTATTGGTCGATTCCTATTGGTTAATTCGTACTGGTTAATTTTATGGTCGCCCTAGATATCAATGTCACGTACTCAAATGTTGTTTCTTATTGGTTGTCCTGACTATCGATGTCAATTCCAATGTTGCTTCCTATTGGTCGTTTTAACTGTCAATGTCACAGACTTCGATGCTGTTTCCTATTCGACCTAAATGTATAAATACGCATTATTTGTAACGTTTTATGACCACGACCAGGGCTCGGTCCCGGATCCTTATTCTCTTCTGGATTCGGACCTCATACTTTCTGGATGCTTGTAGAATACAGGTTCTACTTCTTATTTTAACTAAATATGGGGGTTGAGATAATCGGATTTGAGTAGCATGTCGTGTCGCCGGATCCTCGCTCTCATTTTTCCGACTAACTAAACTCGTAATGGTTCCAGTATATCAAGTTGACGTATTTACGTGCAGGTGTGACACTTAAAACGCCATCGAGTTATCTACTTAGCTAAGGATTTGTATGCAAATGAAGTGACGCTTAATTTATTTATATTGGCTAATGGGATATTTTCTTATTGATAATTAGAACTGAAATTGTGATCAGTTCCATTTGGTATGGTGTGTAAGCTAAGGGCGACCAAACCAAAACATGGTATAAATCCATGAAGTCATTGACAATAGACTGACTGGGGTTCGCCAGACGATAGTAACCAATTTTTAGAGACCTTAAAAGATAGGGCTCAAAATCGTTTCCAATGGTGCACGTGCATTTACTCTTTATTTCCGCCCTTAAATTTTAATCTCCTGAATTCTTTATCACCTCTGTCTTTCTCTTTCTAAGTTGATCTCACTGAATTATTCTTCTTGAGTCATATCTTCGAACCCTAATCTTCTCCATTATCAGTAACACTTCTACTATCTCTATCACTATGGGATTTGAACTACCAATTGCGTTTCTGTGCTAATGTCGTTGTTACTGATTAACTCTGACTGATATTTGGTATGTATGTGCAGTGACATTCAACTGACGAATCCTAAAAAGACGATAAAACGCGTGTCCATTAATCCATCTCTAATCACTAATCAATCTTACACAAATAACTAAGATGGATCATTTGAATGGTGTTAGGATATTCATCCAATATCCTAAAAGAATTATTGGTCGAATCCTATTGGTCGATTTCTATTGGTCAAAATTATGGTCGTTTTAACTGTCAAAGTCAAATACTTTAATGTTGTCTCTTATTGGTCATTCGGACTGTCAATGTCACAGACTCCGATGATGTTTCCTATTCGACCAAAATGTATAAATACGCATTATCTGTAACATTTTATGACCACGACCAGGACCCGGTCCCAGATCCTGATTCTCTTCTGGACTCGGACCTCGTACTTTCTGAATGCTTGTAGAATACAGGTTCTACTTCATATCACGTCTTCTTATTTTAACTAAATATGGGGGTTAGGATAATCGGATTTGAGTAGTATGTGGTGTCATGAATACTCACTCATCTGTATATTAATATGCACACGTGTGCATCCCTTCGCCTAAGAGAAAAAAACGAGAGTTCAATTGTTGACCAATTATATCTATTTGTCTTTCAGCAACATCAGATGGCCTTTGCGTCTGTAGTCACTTTTGATTGATTTACTACTTCAGAGAACGAGATTAAGCTTGGATGACGATCTAGTGGTACAGAGTTTAGGCGGACATTCTCACGTAAGACCGAAGATCTTACGGTTTGAATCATGCGAATTAGTAGAAGTCGTGTATACTCACTGCTAATGAGCCCAATAACAAGACGAAACAGCTAGCTGTCTTTCAGTGCTTTCATGACTTACAGTAGATTTAGAAAAGCCAGTCGCTTATTGTGTTACTCAGTATGCGTTTCGATTTAAACATTAGAGATCGTCCAATCACCACCATAAAAAATTCAATTTTCATTATTAGGGTTGTAGAGATTGTTAAGTTACACATTTGAAATCATGAGTCAATCGATCAATATTACGACAACCATCATTAGAAGAAACCTGCAAGCACTGAATGGCCATGACCAATGGAATTCAACCTTGTTGTATGTGTAGCAGTGCCTACCAAAGACAATAGGTAAGGTTACTACTTAAGACCGTAAAATTGATCAAACTTAGAAGACACTACTAACAACACTGTCGGATGCCAATTCATTCGTCTAAAAGCTAAGCATTCACATGAAGGATCAAAGTTTGGTCCTCCAGTTCAATTTTTGTGATGGTAGTATCATGGATACGCACTGCTGACTGGAGCAATGCGTCCCATAACTAGGGAACGAAATGGCCTTTTTTAAATACAATGATCATTGGCGAATTCAACAAATTATTTATGATATATATGTGATTGCATTGCGGGATTGTTGTGAAGATTGTTAAGTTTTATTTATAACCATGAATCGATCAATGTTAGACTACCATTAGAAACCTGGAAGCACTGAAAGACGGCCGTTTCGTCCTGGTATGGGACTCCTCAGCAGTGCGCATCCACGACTTCTGCACCCCGCAGGATTCGAATCCAGCACCTTCGGTATTGTGCACCAAAGCCCTAACCGTTAGAACAGTGAGCCGGTATCTAACGGTGTTAATGTCTAGCTTGATCAAATTCCAGGTTTCTAATGGTGGTCTAACATTGATCGAGTCATGGTTACAAATATATGTCATTAAAAAGTAAAATGAGAAAACACTTTTTTGTTATGTTTGCTTGCTTACTTTGGATCATCTGCGAATATTTCCGCTGTTCCATTACCATGATGAACATCCCAGTCGATAATCGCAATTCTACATAGAAGTAAAAAAATAAGGAAACGAGCATATACTCACGCACACACACACACACAGAGGTAAATGAATCAATGAACGGAGGAAGGGAGGGAGGGAAAACTCAATGAACAATGTTGGGTTGTGTAGGAGAGAATACTTACTTACTTACTTATGCCTGTGACTCTAAATGGAATATAGGCCGCCGGCACCAGTTTTATCCAACCCTTTTCAGTTCTGTCCAATGTTTGTTCATTCCTCTCATATCTTTCTCTATTTCTCGGCGTAATGTGTTCCTTGGTCTTCCTCTTTTCCTTTGACCTTGAGGGTTCCATGTGAGGGCTTGTCTTGTGACACAGTTAGGTGCTTTTCGTAGTGTGTGTCCTATCCACTTCCATCGCTTCTTCTTGATTTCCGGATCCACCTTGATTGTCGATGATGCTGCCAAGATATGTAAAGGTGTTAACGTCCTCCACGGCATCCCCATCAAGAGTGATTTGGTTGGTGCATGTCGTGTTGTATCGTAGAATCTTACATTTTCCTTTATGTATGTTGAGACCTACTGCTGCTGAGGCTGCTGCTACACTGGTCGTCTTCTCTTGCATTTGATGTTGCGTGTGCGATAGAAGAGCCAGGTCATCTGCGAAGTCCAGATCATGCAGCTGCGTCCTAGATGTCCACTGAATATGGTGCTTCCCCCCAGATGCTGACGTCTTCATAATCCAGTCGATCACCAGGAGAAAGAGAAAGGGTGAGAGTAAGCAACCTTGCCTGACACCGGTCTTCGTGTATGATTTCGCAGTTGAAGTAGGAGAGCACAGGCTGAAGGAAATCTAGCGGTGAGCCAAATCAAAAAAACATGACACAAATTTATAAAGTCATTGACAACTGAACTGTTGGGGTCGGTTAGATCCCTAGAACTCACTTGGAAAAGATTTTAATCATGTAATTTTATTTTGGAAACTTCGAATTTCCATGTTTTCACGCCAGTTGACCCTGAGCTTACATTTCCCACTTGGAAAATCCTTTACTGTCATCATGTGGTTGATGGATTATTTTATTACGCTATTTTGTGACCTGCGCAAGGGCGTTTCTATCATTGTGTGCTTGTGGGTGGTTGTAGAATACACTTTCTACGCCTTATCAAAAAGACTTCTCGATCTAGTTAGCTGGGCCGGGGACAAACGGAATAGAATAGACTATCGTGTCACTGTTTCATTGCCCTTCGTTCCGTTTACCGAGTAAGATGAAATCGTAATAGCGTTCAAGCATATCAATTGACTAACATATCATGGACTGAGCTATCTTGATAGATGTAGAGACTAACTTAGTTAGAGTTCACGATATTCTAAAAAAATTCCACCGCGTTGTAACGGGATGAAATCGCTTTGGTTTCTTGAGGATCCGTCATTGTGATCTTAATCAGAAGTGATCAAATGCGAAGGTCATCTGATGACCATCAGTAATATTCTTCATCATCTTATTTCTTTCTTTTTAAGATAAATTAGTTGGTAATGAAGTGAAACTTCATCAGTTAGGGGGTGGTTGGGACATGTGCTGCGTATACCTAACCACCGTCTGCCTCGATGAGCTATGTTTTGTGGTGTAGGAGTAGGTTGAAAACAAGTTACGGGCGACCAAACAAAAACATGGCACAAATCCATGAAGTCACTGACAAATGGACTGAGTCATGTTGGTGTGTGTAGACTACCTGGTTAGGGACCGCGAAATGATGAGTCATTGGTAGTTAGAGACTTTGAATGATATTGATCAAAATCGGTTTGCAATAGCGCAGGTGCATTCATTCTTTGTGTTCTCTCTTAAATCCTAACCTTCGGAATCCCTCATCGCCTTTGTCTTTTTCTTTTTAAGTTTATTTTACTAGATCATACTCCTTGAATACTATCTTCAAATACTAATCTCTCCGATTACTGCTAATACTTTTACTACTTCTACTACTACTGTAGTGAACGAGAACACAGGTGAGGGCAACCGAATCGTATTTAACGAAAATTACAGAGTTACTCAGTAAAATAGGAAAACCATATCGTAAATCGTTCATTTATTTGCAAAATATCAGTTCATCATACCGAACTGGACTGTTCCTGTTGCAAAACATCAATCCATTGTCACTATTCATGCGTTTCATACAAATTTCATTGTGTTCTAACTCTTCCTCCCTTTCTTGATCTACCCTAATCTTCTGCTGCCAAACATTACGTTGACACTCACGTCATATACTACTTATAAGTAGCTCGCACCACACTACTACTACTATAGGATTTGAATTGACAATTTCATCGGTCTGTGCGCTAATATGGTACGGCAATTTGAACTTATGTACGTAGACACGTATATACAAAGTTCTACATTGTAGCTGCTGACTAACTGACTGACCATCAGTAAGGCATAAGAGACGAGTGTACACAAACACAAACACAAGCACAGGCATACTATCACACTTACCGTTCTAATCCATAAACTTGTTGAGCATGTCTAGCTCCAACGGCTATATTATTGAAGAAACAAAATCCCATACAACGATCTTTTAAAGCATGATGTCCCGGTGGACGAATTAATGCCAAACCATTTAAACTCTTGAAAAAATGTATGAAAGAAAGGAAGCAAACAAGAAAAGATGACATAAATTATTATTGTCATGATACGTGTTAGTGGGACATAGATGGAATTAAAGCATGACTACGTTGCCACGCGCTGATTGGTTAATTTCCTATCCAATCAGCGCCTGATCGAATCTTGGAGAACAGGGTAGAAGATTCTCGTATTGTTAGCTGTGTGCTGATTGGTTAAATCTAATCCATTCGATCACGTGAATTTTATTCCCGAAGCTTCCTCATGTAAATGCTATAAATAGACTAGCGTTGTATCTATTTTTGGCTTCTTATTCCTTGCTATTTTGGAATATAATCTTTTCCTGTTCAACCGTGTTTTTGATTCTTGGGAACTTGTCCAGTGTTTTGTGGTCAGAGAATGCTAAGCAATAGGATTTAGCCGGGAATTATATAAGCAAGCGTTACAACAATACGAATAGTATGTCAGTCAGTATAAAAGGATTCATAGTGGATAGAGCTAGCTAGCTCATAGATTTGTTTTCTAAGTAGTAAAGACCAGTGGTCTGGCAAGATAGTTTACTCGCATCTTTTTTCTATTTCTCCTCGTCGACAAACTGCATGATGAAGATGTCAACATATGTGTAAGGGGAAGCACAGGATACTACAATGGACAATTACGACGCAGCTGGGCGATCTAGACTTCACAGACACTCAGGCTCTACACTATCGCACATGCTACAACAAATGTAAGAGAAGACGACTAGTGAAGAGTCAGCATCTGCAGAAGAAGATCACCATGATTCTTGCTATTTATAGAGTTCGAACCCAGAACTTTCGGTCCTGCAAGCGAACAGCTAGCCTCTGTGTTAGGATATTCTTTTCATATCCTAAGAGAATTATTGGTCAATTCATATCGGTTAATTTCTAGTGGTCAATTTTATGGTCGTCCTAGATATCAATGTCATGTACTCCAATGTTGTTTCTTATTGGTTGTCCTGACTATCGATGTCACTTCCTATTGGTCGTCTTAACTGTCAATGTCACAGACTTCAATGCTGTTTCCTATTCGACCGAAATGTATAAATACTCATTATCTGTAACATTTTATGACCACGACCAGGGCTCGGTCCCGGATCCCTAGCCCGGTATCCTGATTCTCTTCTGAAGTCGGACCTCGTACTTTCTGGATACTTGTGGAATACATGTTCTACTTCATATCATGTCTTCTTATTTTTGCTCAATATGGGGGTTGGGATAATCGGATTTGAGTAGCATGTCGTTTCGCCGGATCCTCGATCCTTGTCGCTCTCGCGTTTCCGACTAAGGTAAACTCGTAACAGTTCAAGCGTGGACTATTGAGCGGGTCGTCATGTTAATGTCTAAATCTGATCAATCTAAGGATTTTATGCAACCTCATCCACTGTCTTCGGTAGGTAACCGCCTACACCTAACCGGGTTCAACTCCACAAACACACACAGCCACACAGCTTCTCAACTAGAACTCGAAGAATTCGCTCATGAAGCTAGTAGTCACTAGTCAGCACAGTATTTTCTGATTTCGCATGACACATAACGCAGAGAAATAGAGAAAGATATGAGAAGAATGAACAGAAATTTGACAGAACCGGAAAGGGAAGCCCAGAACAGAGTTGGTTGGAGAAAACTGGTGCCGGCGGTCTCTACTCCATTGGGGGTAACAGGCTAAGTAGGCAAGTAAGTAAGTAACAACCACAAGAAAAACAAAAGTGAACTACTTACCTCGCCTGAACAAACTTCATCAATTACTGCTAACAGAGAACCACTAGCCAAACGAGCATTATCATAGGTATGCTAAAAATTATAAGTGAAAACGGAAAAAAAACAAGAAGTTTGTAGAATTGTGGTGTGTGCTACTTATACGAACGATATAAGTAGTATAAGAAGGGATGTGAAAGAAGTCTCACGGGCAGAAGAGGAAAACGGAGCGAAAGCAAGAAGTAAATGGTGTACCAACAGGAATGGAAGAAGGATGGAGCGTTGGAAGTCACGACTCAAAGATGGTGTGCAAATAGAGTAGTGTTCAATGTAATGTTTTCGTTTTTAATTGACTCAGAGTGTAAATTTGCATAATACAAACTTCTGCGCCTGTCTCAGTCTTCTCAGAACGACGCGAAAAAAACAAACTAGGATTGCAGTCAGTAAGAAATTTTTTATCATATTAGATAACCAGCACCAGACAACTGTTTTACTTTCAGTGCAGAGGCTTATTGACACAATGGACATCTACGACCTTATTGAAGAGTTCGAGTGAAGGGGATTGGTTAGTTGCATAGCGAATTCTGAGTCAGGATCTTCTAATGACTTATATGTATTACTTACTTAATTACTTACTCCTGTCACCCCTCCCCCAATGGAGTAGAGGCCGCCCCCACTATCATTCCCCTTTTGAGGATTCCAAGTGAGGGCTTGTGTTATAACACAGTTGGGTGATTTCCTTAATGTGTGTTCAAATCCACTTCATACGGTGGAATCTAGTTCATTCTCTCCAACAGTAAGTTGTTGCTGATAGTGTTTGGCCAGTGGATCCGAAGTAATTTTGCTTAGATAACTGTTAATGAATACTTGTCTCTTCTGGATGATGACTTTTGTAGTTCTCTAAGTTCCCAGCTCAGACTTATATGTCTAATTTTTATATAATACACAGTGAGTGGCTGAAACGTTTTTGTTGGTCACTTCTGAGGTGTTCACTTGTAGCTTTTGTTTTCTTACAGGACATGTTACTGACACTGGAATTTTTCATGAGTACAGAGGAGTTTTTGATAGCAAAACAGACATGATTTTTTATAATAGTAGCTTTAAATAAAAAAGTGTTCTCAGCAAAGCTCCCGTTGTTCTCCCGTTTTTTGTAACACTAGTAATCTTGAACCTAGGCTATTCTGTTATTGTCTTTTCAATTGTTCACAAGTGTCTGTCTATTCGTTTGATATTTGCCTTCAGTTTCTGACGCAAAGTGTTCTTTGGTCATCCACTTTTCTTATCAACTTGAAGATTTAAAGTTAAGGCTTGCCTTGTGACACCCTCATACACATAACAGCAGACGAGATTAACTTTTTTACGATCAAATACTTTTCTTACCTTTTGCCTCTGCGACTCACCCTCTTTGAGCCATATTATTAAATGTGGACAACCAGGTTGGGGTCCGTGAGACAATGTTAACCGATGGTTATAGACTTTGGATGACATGGCTCAAAAACGTTTGCAATGGCGCCGGTACATTTATTCTTTGTGTTCTCTCAAATACTAATCTTCTGGATTCTTCAACACCCCTAGTTTTGGCTTTCTAAAATTTTCTCACTGAATCACACTTCTTGAATAATATCTTCTAATCCTAACCTCTCCGATTACTTCTAATACCTTTACTACCTCTTCTACTATTGGATTTGAATTGAAAATTATATCTCTGTGCTGATGTGGTATGGCAACATGAACTGATGTACGTACGTACGTATGAAGTTCTACGTTGCATCTGACTGACTGACTGACTCTCTTAGCAGTGTCATCCCCAAAATTCTTATTCAAAAGACAATGAAGTTACACAACGAGAGATACAATTGCATGCTAGCCAGTCATGAACAACAGGTTCACATATCATTTCTTATTCACTCATGATCTTGGTCGGTAGGTTCCTCCGTGTCGATCAACTTGGTTTAAGGAGCGATTGGACATTTATCTGCCTGTCATGAGAAGGCAGTGAATGGGATTTCTGTGGCCGTGGATATATGCATACATACGGCCATACGAGTGTGGACTCTCTTAATTTTCGACCGCACTAAGGCATTTGGAAGCTATTTACTAGATAGAAATTTGTATACTCGGCTTTAAGCAGGTATTATAAATGTCAGGGAGAGTAGATTTCAGTCAGTCAGCTGCAACATAGAACTTTGTACGTATGTACATCAGTTAAAGTTGTCTCAACACATTGGCACACAGAGATGAATTTGTCAATTCAAATCCCATAATGATTGAGGTAGTAGAAGTAGTCGCGGTAATGTAGAAGATTAGGGTTCGAAGATATTATTCAAGAAGTATAATTCAGTGAGATAACTTTATAAAGAGAAAGATAGAGATGATGAGGAATTCAGAAGGTTAGAATTTCATAGAACACAAAGAATGAATGCACCTGCGCCATTGCTAACAGTTTTGAGCCATGTCATTCAAGATCTCTGACCATCGCGGATCCCAACTAGACAGCCTACATCTACCAACATGACTCAATCTACTTGTCAGTGACTTCATGGATTTCTGCCATGTTTTAGTTTGGCCACCCTACTACTCCTACACCACAAAACATCACTCATCGAAGCAGTTGGTGGTTGGACATACGTAACTCATGTCCCAATCACCTCAATTGATGAAGAAGCAGGATAGTAGATTTAGTCAATAGAAAAGGGTTTAAAATTTACAACATTTCGCGGTTGAAACTCAACGGCTTCTACAATCTATCTATCTATATATCTATCAAGCCATCAAAATCACTCCGCAATATATGAAACTTTCTAAAAAAATTTGACAAATCTTCAACGAAAAAAGTTGACACACTACATTCAGTCAGTCAGTCAATTACAGCGTAGAACATCGTACGTACGTACATCAGTTCCGGTTGCCATATCGCATTAGCACAGAGATGCAACTGTCACTTCAAATCCCATAGTGGTAGAGATAGTAGAATTATCCGCGGTAATGGAGAAGATTAAGCTTCGAAGATATTTTTCGAGAAGTATAATTCAGTGAAATAACTTTACAAAGGCGAAAGATACAGGTGATAAGGAACTCAGAAAGTTTAGAATTTGAGAGAACACAAAAAGTGGATGCACTTGTGCCGCTGTTAAATGATATTTCAGTTAAAATGATGAAAAAAAGGTTGACAAAATAAAATACTACAACACTATGAATGACATAATACAACAGAGATTAAGCATTCACGCGCAAGACCAAAAAGGTCCTGCTCGGGGGGGGGGGGTGGTCGAATCCTCCTGTACGAGTTGCAGTGTGGTGTGTGCTACTTATACGAATGATATAAGTAGTAGTATAAGAAGGGACGTGAAAGAAAAAGTCTCACGGTCACAAGAGCAAAACGGAAAGCGAATGGAGCAAAAGCAAGAAGTTAATGGTGTACTAACAGAAATGGAAGAAGGATGGAGTGTTGGATGTCACGACTCAAAGATGGTGTGCAAATAGAGTAGTGTTCAATGTAATGTTTTCGTTTTTAATTGACTCAGAGTGTAAATTTGCATAATACAATCTTCCTCGCCTGCCTCAATCTTCTCAATTGGTGTCGCTGCCTCTACACAGGATGAAGATCCCATGGCCTCAGGAGTTTGAAGACGGAGGTATAAGGGGCTTCTTGAAGGAGTTCGAAGCCGTGGCGGAGCTGGTAGGAGCCAAGGAGACTGGTGAACGCCGCACAACCAATGGACGTCACCGAGCTGGCAAAAGTAACGAGCTAGCTGATGAACCCAAAAGTCGCCTCGGTGGCGTGTGAGAGACAGGCGGATGATGTCGCAAAAAAGATAGAAGAGTTACAACGCGAGGTGTCAGCGTTACGAATAAAGGGTGAACGAGATAATAAATGCTATACTTGTGGAGGAACCGGGCATTGGAAGAGGAATTGCCCAACCAGACGAAAACATTACATTGAACACTACTCTATTTGCACACCATCTATGAGTCGTGACTTCCAACACTCCATCCTTCTTCCATTCCTGTTGTTGCTTCCTTTACTTCCTGTTGGTACTCTATTTACTTCTTGCTTTTGTTCCATTTGCTTTCCGTTTTCTTCTTCTGACCGTGAGACTTCTTTCACGTCCCTTCTTATACTACTTATATCGTTCTCATAAGCAGCACACACCACAGCAGGAGTCGTGCATGCACACTGCCACTGATGAATACTGTCATACATTAGGACGAAACCACAGTCCTTCAGTGCTCCCCGAAAATGGCAGTCGTCTGACAATGATTGATTAATTCAACACCAACACCAACAACTTACCGGATTGAAATAAACTGAATTTTCTGTAGCGCCTAAATCATTCAATACAGTTTGATTCATATTCACTGTTGCAGCAATTGTATTCAAATAATCTTCTGTATGTACACGTAATAATTCTGTTCGAGTTGCATAACGTGCCTTCGAAAAAAATAGAGAGAGAGAATAAAATCAATTTGACAGTTGAAAATAAAAAAAGTGTTATGCATAAACACAGTCAGTCAGTCAGTTGCAACCTAGAACTTCGTACGTGTGTACATAAGTTCATGTTGCCATACCACATTATTAGCACAGAGACGCAAATGTCAGTTCAAATCTCATAGTGGTAGAGATAGCAGAGATATTGATGGTAATGAAGAAGACTAGGGTTGAGCCATGTCGTTCAAAGTCTCTAACCATTGGTGATTTTTGTCTCGCGGACCCTAACCAGGTAGCCTACATCTACCAACATGACTCAGTCCACTTGTCAGTAACTTCATCGATTTCTGCCATCTTTTGGTCTGGCCACCCCTAACTTTCTTCCAACCTACTCCGCCTACACTACAAAACAAAGCTCTTCGAGGCAGTCGGTGGTTAGGCATACGCAGTACATGTCCCAACCACCTCAACTGATGAAGTTTCAACACTTTATCAATTGGTCTGCCATTCTTACCTAGCACCCTTTTCCTAATAACAGCGTTGCTCACTCGCGCACCCCATAAACACAGTGAAAACTTCTTTTAGTTAAGGTAAAAGGCGTGCGGTTGAGCATGGGGTTGGAAATCTAATCCTATTAACCCATTAAACTTAGTTTTCGGAGTTAGAGGGTGGTTATTTAAGCGAATTCTGATGTATGATGATTTATTTGAAAGTTACGAAGTCGATGATCCATAAATACGACACAATATTTAGTATATCAACCAAATAACACTTGACGTAGAAGCTTTTTGAAGGATGTAGAAACCTTTACATATATGGGTAGGCATCATTGATGAACAAGGTGTATCTGATATAGATGGGAAGACAATGATTAGCAAATCAAGGAGAGTATTTCTACAACTAAAGAACATTTGGAGCTCAAGACAATGCACATTGTGGAAATCCCCCTATTGTATTACGAGGTAGGCCGTAACTTAGATCCCTCAAAAGGTCAAAGGAGAGGAGGTAGATCAAAGAACACATTTTATCGAGAAATTGGAGACAGACATGAAAAGAATGAATAACAGTTAGGAACAAATGGAAAGGAGAGCTCAGGATAGAAGTGGTTGTGGAAACCAATTAGTGAGATTATGAAACAATTATTTTTAGACTACCATTAGAAACCTGGAAGTACTAGGCAGCCTTTTCGTCCAGGTACGGGATGAAATCAACAGTGTACACCCACGACTCTTACTAGTCGCAGGATCCGAACCCAAGACATTCGGTCTTGTGCGCAAATACTTAATCTCTGAACCATTGAGCAGGCCGACATCTAACGGTGTTAATGTCTCATAACTATGATCAATCTAAGGATTTTTCGCAGACTCATCCGTTGTCTTCAGTAGTAACTACCGACATCCAGCACGATTAAGCTCTGCTTTAATAAAAGAAGAATCTAGAAAACGGTCACAAACATTCAAATTCCTGTCATTGACTACAATTTAATTACTGATTGATAATGTAACTTGGTGGTTGGTTGTGGTAGTCGACAGGAAACTCTGCTCAATCAATGATCTAGGTATGCTTTGACGACGGGTAGTGAATAGTTTGAAACTATAGTCAAGAACGGTTTCTTAACGAATAGCTTGAATCATCAACCTATAAGAGTAGAGGATATTTATAGGCCATTAGGTATTCGATCAAAGGCATCTTCGAAGTATTTCCCGAATATCCTAGAACCATCGAGTAAGCAATGCTACTGTTAGAAAAAGAGTATTAGGTTAAGGTTATGGATGGTAGGTCAATTAATGAAGTAATGAAACTTCATTAGTTGAGGTGGTTTGGACATGTGTTACGAATGCCCAACTACCGACAGCCTCGACGAGCTATGATGCCTGGTTTAAGGGTAGGCTGAATGAAAGCTAGGGACAGTCAGACCAAAGCAGGGCACAAATCTATGAAGTCACTGACAACTGGACTGAGTCATGTTGGAGTCTGCAAGACAATAGCAATCGATAGTTTGAGACTTCGAATGACATGGCTCAAAATCGTTTGCATATAACATTGGTCACTCACTAACCAATGATCGGTTACTTGTAAAAAACTGATTACCCACCAGATATTGTGAATGTTGTCGTTTGAATGTCTGAATATAAAAGATCAAAAAGCTTCACAGCAGTAGTCAATGATTTTTAAGGGCTGATTACCAAAGTCTAGCTAGATATTTGATTGAGTTCTTTCAATCCATGTAGAACTTCGTACGTACATACATCAGTTTAGGTTGCCATACCACGTCAGCACAGAGACGTAACTGTCACTTCAAATCCCATAGTGATAGCGAAAGTAGAAGTATTAGCAGTAATGGAGAAGATTAGGGTTCCAAGATATCATTCAAGAAGTATAGTTCGATGAGATAAATTTTGTTAGGATATTCATCCAATATCCTAAGAGAATAATTGCTCAAATCCTATTGGTCGATTTCTGTTGGTCAAAATTATGGTCGTTTCAACGATCAAAGTCAAATACTTCAATGTTGTCTCTTATTGGTCATCCGGACTGTCAATGTCATTTCAAATGTTATTTCCTATTGGTCGTCTTAACTGTCAATGCCACAGAGTTCAATGCTGTTTCCTATTCAACCTGAATGTATAAATACGCATCATCTGTAACATTTTATGACCACGACCAGGACCAGGGTTCGGTCCCGGATCCCTAGTCCAGGATCCTTATCCTCTTCTGGATTCGGACCTCGTGCTTTCTGGATGCTTGTAGAATACAGGTTCTACCTCATATCACGTCTTCTTATTTTTACTCAATATGGGGGTTGGGATAATCGGATTTGAGTAGCATGTCGTGTCGCCGGATCCTCGCTCTCGTTTTTTCGACAAGGTAAACTCACAATAGTTCAAGTATATCTCAAATGACGTGTTTACGTGCAAGCGTAACAAATTTAGAAAAACAAAGATAGAGATGATGAGCGATACAGAAGGTTAGAGAATTTGAAAGAACACAAAGAGTGGATGCACTTGTGCCAACATTACAAACGATTTTGAGCCATATCATCATTCAAAGTAGTCTCTAGTAGTCATCGGTAACTTTCATCTGGTAGGGCCTAACCAGGTAGCAGCTTATTTCAGTCGGTTGCAACGTAGAACTACGTACGTGTGTACGTAAGTTCATGTTGCCATACCACATTATTAGCACACAGAGACGCAAATGTCCAATCAAATCCCATGATGATAGTAGAGATAGTAGAGGTATTAATGTTAATAAAGAACACTAGGGTTTGAAGATATTATAATTCAAGAAGTATAATTCAGTGAGATAAGGTTAGAAAGACAAACGGGTAGAGGTGCTGACGAAGATTAAGATTTGAGAGAACACAAAGAATGGATGCACTTGCACCATTGCAAACGATTTTGAGCCATGTCGTTGTTCAAGGTCTGTAACCATTGGTGACTTTCATCTCGCGGACCCTAACCAGGTAGTCTACATCTACCAATATGACTCAGTCCACTCGTCAATGACTTCATGGATTTCTACCATGTTTTGATCTGTCCGCACCTAACTTTCTTCCAACCTACTCCTACACCACAAAACATAACTCGTCGAGGCAGCTTATTTGAAAATATTACATTTTAACAACAACAACAACAAAAAGAGAAAATATAACACACTTTTTTTTTCCTACTAAACTTACTTCAATATGTTTACAACGACGTGCAAGACCGTATTGTTTTAAAACAGCATAGGCATGTTTGATACGTTCTGGATTTTCTGGATAAGTTCTATGATTTTATTTTATTTTTTAATGAAAAAAATAATACATTTGACAGATATACTACAAAGTAGAAACAAAATAAAAACCACCTTATCATCAAATGCTTTGAGGTACAATTGAAACAGAACTCCGGCAGTAGAACCTTAGGGGCTACTGCCGGTCCCAAGCCCGGATAAAGGAGGAGGGTTGGACATGGGGGTTGGCGACCCCGTTCCGTCGAAATCTAACTTGCCAAAAAGACGCTAACCAGAAAAACACTAACAATTGAGATAGTCGAGAGAATTTCGTTCTCCTTTTCAAAATGCTTTCATATATGACGGTGTATGGTATAGCTACTTACTGTCAACGAAACCCTATTCACTTACTAATTTTTCATGTTGTCAGGATATTCATCTAATATCCTAAGAGAATTATTGGTCAATTTTATGGTCATCCTAACTATCAATGTCACATACTTCAAATGTTGTTTCTTATTGGTCATCCTGACTGTCAATGTCACAGATTTCGATACTCTTTCCTATTCGACCTAAATGTATAAATACGCATTATCTGTAAAGGATTACATTCCATTCCATTCCTTCCTTCCTTCATCACCAACTATACTCGACCCCATAAACAACTTCATCTAACGGTGTTATGTTCTGATATATAGGATATTTGGGAATAGTATTCCCGACCGAAGCTGCTACCTTGACGTGGTGGTCGAGCTTGCCTATCGTGATGACCCAACTGAGCTTTATTGGTTGGAACATATGTTCCTGCAGGTCCTACCATACCAGGCAGGTCGATTGAAGAACGATAAGACTAAAAGCAGCTACTCAAGGTCTGAGGGCGAAGTCGTACTGCTGACTGTGATGGAGGGGTGTGACAGCAGTAAGGTGTTTCCCTCGGACAACCATCATCTGCAGCGATGCTGCTTTCTCACAAGGGAGGAAGGAAGGGTTAGAAAAGGTGGACCCTAAAAATGTCACACCTCACCTTACCTCACGGATTTCCGTCTCCGGTGGTAAGGGTGCCCACGAAGGGCCTTTAAGAGCGGAGCTAATACTCAAAAAACCTTTCATAAAAAGGCCGTGCGTGACCGGCCTCAATCAGTTGTCCCTTGGGCTCTGCGGTCACGCACCCAGGTCTCTAAGACCAACACTAATCGATCTTCCTTTTCAGGTCCCTCAAGAAACACCCTTCCACGGTGTGGGAAGCCGGGAAATGATAACCGCCCTCATACCCGTAACAGCACACTGACTGGGAATAGTATTTGGCGTCGTACTGCAATATCTGAATTCAGACGTCGGTAGGATCTTGAATAGCTACGTAGCATCATTATAACACATGTAAAAGGTTGTTGTTGATGGAATTGAGAAGAAGGAATGAGACTGTCCGTCCGGTAGATGGATTAAACCGAATTGGTGGCTACAGAGGATCCATGTAGAAGGGATTTGGATAACCCTTACATTCCTAACCAATAGTTTACATGGGCCCTAGTATTCTCATGAACTACCATGAGATAGCATCTCCTCATGTAACTTCACTACCTGGTGAATTAGGCTGAAGTAATAAATGGACGCGTAAGAACACTTTCTGTTTCAGTAATAAACTTCAGAAACAGATACGATAGATATCATGTGATAATTATTACCGGTTTACATGAAAACAAATAAATACCCACCCAAATATACATTACGAATATGATGTAAACGAAATAGAAAACCTATAAATTTCAATTATTTGCGCTTCAAAAGGCATGGATTTATTAATTTCCTGAAGAAGAAATCAGGAAGAAGCGTTGGAAGTGGATAAGACATACATTGAATAACATGACAAGCCCTCACTCATCAGCTGGAACCCTCAAGGTCAAAGGAAAAGAGGAAGACTAAGAAATACACTACACTTGTGGTGCGAGCTACTTATAAGTAGTATATGACGTGAGTGTCAACGTAATGTCTGGCAGCAGAAGATGAGGGAAGATCAAGAAAGGAAGAGTCAGAAAACAATGGAATTTGTATGAAACGCAAGAATAGTGACAATGGATGGATGTTTTGCAACAGGAATAGTCCAGTTCGATATGATGAAATGATATTTGCAAATTAACGATTTACGATATGGTGTTTCGATTTTACTGAGTAACTCTGTAATTTTCGTTAAATACAATTCGGTTGCCCTCACCTGTGTTCTCCTTCACTACACACTGAGAAATAGAGACAGACAAGAGAAGAATGAACAGAACTAGAAAGGAAGACAGGCCTAGGACAGTAAAGAATGGAGAATGCTAGTCGGCGGACTGTTTCACTGGGAATAACACACATATATAAGTAAGTAAAAGTTGAGTTGAAAATTGTTTAGTCAACAGTAAAACTTTTGATCTTATTTGAAACAAACTCCTCACTCACTTGAATAAACAAACAATAAATTGGCAAGTTCCACTATTTTTTCTCAATTTACATGTATATATACCAAAGCACATACATCAGAAGAGTAGAAACAAGAGTACATGCTCATAATGTTGAGTACACATTCCAAAGAATTTGAAACTCAAAGGCTCAGTAACTCTAAGTGGTGTAATACTTAGATATTTAATTAATACCGGACATATTATCGACATCCTCCGATCCTTCGAAATTACCAACAGACAAAAGCAGAAACGCAGCATTTCTTCAGTTTGTCGAAGCAGTGGCGAATGTCACTACTCGGCTGCCCACACCATGGAACAAACATGAAAAGGAAGTTGGGTTACCGGTGGTCTTAGAGACCTGGGAGTGTGACCACAGAGTTCACAAGAGACAACTTACTTGGGGCCGGTCACATATAACCTTTTTATGATAAATTGACGTGTCGGCTCTGCACTTCAAATGGCCTTACTTCCGAAGATGGAGATCTGTAGGGTAAGGTGAAGTATGACATTTTTAGGGTCAAGCATTTTTAAACCCTATCTTCTATTGTGAGAAAGCAGCATCGTTGCAGATGCTGGTTGTTTGAGAGGAACACCTTACTATTGTCAGCAGTACAACTTCAGCCTCAAACCTGTTGCTTTTAGTCTTACCGTTCTCCAATCAACCTGCCCGGCATGGTAGTGTAGTGAAGGAGAACATAGGTGAGGCCAACCGAATTGTATTTAACGAAAATTACAGAGTTACTCAGTAAAATAGGAAAACCATATCGGAACCGTTAATTTGCAAAACTTAAATCCACCATCAATCCATTGTCTGACATTTCACTTATTCATGCGTTTCATACAAATTCCATTGTGTTCCCACTCTTCTTCCTTTCTTGATCTTCCCCTATCTTCTGCTGTCAGGAATTACGTTTACACTCACGTCATATACTACTTATAAGTAGCACGCACTACAGTAGAACCTAAAGAAACCTATGTTCCAGTTAATATAGTTCGATTGGGTTATAACAATAGGCAAGCGCGACCACACCACATCAAAGTGGCATTAACGGTTAGGTTGTTATTGTCATCAATCTTTGTTACTGTGATTCCTTTCATCGTCAATACCAAGTACTACATACTACTATACCATACCTCATTGGAATACGTTAATGAATATGCAGCTATTAGCAGCTGATATCAAAAACCACGAAATATGACGAATTCATGAGGTGGTGATTAAAAGTATTCGTCAGCTGTTTGAATAATTACAATATTTACAAACACAACATATAGTATTCTATGTTTTTTACGACTATTGACATGAACTACTAACAAAATGTTTAAGTAGTTAAAAATCCAACATAAAAAATAAATATGAAAAAATATATACAAGAATATTGTTTGTAATTGAAAGGCAATAACCAACGCCAAACATAATAAACTTACGGATCTTCTTCATTCTGATGATTTTCCATACGACTATCATAAACTAAGCAAGTTCTAAAAAAGAATAATAAAATGAAAATCAATAAAAGGTATTAAGGCAACAATACAAGCATGTTCGGGATGCGATTCTCACCCTCGAAATGCAAAATTTTGTTTCAAGATTGGGTTGCATTGGCACCTGAACTCTAGTGATAGGGAATGAAGTAGTTGAGCATGTTGACCGCTTCACATAACCAAAGGACGAGTGTACTGCACAGCAGTTCACTCTGTGATACGATACGGAAACGAAACATGGCCGTTAAGAGTAGAGGACAATCGTAGGATACTAGTCTTCGATCATAGGTGTATCCGAAGCATTGCTCGTGTATCCTGGGACAACTAACTAAGCAATACTGTCCTTAGGAAATGAGTTCTAGGTAGGGATGGCAAATCAATAGATGAAGTAGTGAAACTTCATCAGTTTACATGGTTGGGACATGTGCTGCGTATGCCTAACTACCGACTGCCGCGACGAGCTATGTTTTGTGGTGTAGCAGTAGGTTGGAAGAAAGTTAGGGGTGGCCAGACCAAAACAAGGCATAAATCCATGAAGTCATTGACAAGTGGACTGAGTCATGTTGGTAGATGTAGGCTGTTTGGTTGGGGTCCGCGAGATGAAAGTCACCGATGGTTAGAGACCTTGAACGACATGGCTCAAAATAGTTTGCAATGACGCAGGTGCATCCACTCTTTATGTTCTCTCTAATTCTAACCTTTTGAATTCCTCATAATCTCTATCTTTCTCCTGCGAAATTTATCTTACTGAATTATACTTCTCGAATCATATCTTCGGTCCCTAATCTTCTCCATTGCTGCTAATACTTCTATTATTGCTATCACTCTTAGATTTGAACAATTTGCGGGAATCATCCAACTGTATCACGAGGCAAGCCCTAACATGGAATCCTCAAGGGCAATGTCAGTCAGTGAGATGCAACGTAGAACTTTGTACGTAAGTACATCAGTTGATGTTGCCATACCACATCAGCACAGAGATATAATTGTCAATTCAAATTCAATAGTAGTAGTAGAGGTAGTAAAGATATTAGAAGTAATCGGAGAGGTTAGAATTAGAAGATATTATTCAAGAAGTATGATTCAGTGAGAAAAGTTTAGAAAGTCAAAACTAGAGGTGTTGATGAATCCAGAAGAACAGGAGTTGAGAGAACACAAAGAGTAAATGCACCGGTTTTGAGCCATGTCATTCAGGGTCCATAATCGTCGATTATTATCATCTCGCGGACCCCAACCAGGTAGCCTACATCTACCGACATGACTCAGTCCACTCGTCAATGACTTCATGGATTTCTGCCATGATCGCCTCTAACTTTTTCCAACCTACTCCTACACTACAAAACAAAGCTCGTCGACCTCAAGGACAAAGGAAAAGAACACATTATATCGGCGAATCGGAGACCAACATGAAAAGGATAAATGAACACTAGTTGGATAGAACTGGAAACAAATGCAGTCTCAGGACAGAGTAGGTTGGAGAAGGCTGGTCGGCGGCCTATGCCCCGTCGGATGGGGGGGGGTAACAGAAGTAGATAAATAAGACTTGGGATTACGTAACGTTCTTATATAAAACGAATTGGTTTTAAACACTAAGGTGAGATAAAAAGCAAAACAAAACACATATCTTACCCAGATATTCGATTATTACCAGCAATCGGATGTGTATTTTTTAAATATTCAAATTTTTTATCGATGATTAATTTATTTTCAATATCATGTTGTTTATCGGTTGGTTCAAAATTTGGGACTTTTACATCTGACCTGAAAAACAAACAAACATCAAGTTGTGAAAATTGTGTGTGTTGAGAAATTGTTAAAATCAACTAATGTGGAAGAAGTAGGTGGATTGCCTCGAACAGTAAGCATCCATGATCTTTTCTATATCACAGGCGAGAATCGAACCCATAACCTTTGGTTCCATACACGAATGCTTAATCTATTGACCATTTGGTTTGGCTGCCCTTAACTTAATCTAAGCCTAACCCAACACTACAAAACATTGCTCGTCGAGGTAGTCGGTGGTTAGGCATACGAAACTGTTGGGGATGTTAGATCCCCCAAAATTCGCTTGATAAATTCCTTATTTTGATTTTTATGTTTGCGAGCATGGGCTGATCAGTTGACCTTGAGATTTCAATTCGCACCAGGAAAATCCATGGCTGTGTGATTGGCTGCTGCTGTGTATTTTAGTGTGCTATTTTCTTAACTGTCCCAAGGATGTTTCAGTGATGTATAAATAAACGAGAGTTGTATGCTTGATTGTACTGTGATTGCTTGGTGTTTGTAGAATATACTTTCTACGCTTACAAAGCCTTTTTACTCTATTAAAGGATTCAAGGTAGCCTACCTGGACGCTGGTAATTGTCTCGTTCGCGTTTATCGACTAAGGTAAACTCGTTATAGCCTCAAGCATACTTAGTGACGAGCGTAACAGAAACACATGCCCCAACCACCTCAACTGATGAAGTTCCACCACTTCATCTATTGATCTGCCATTCTTACCTAGCACCCGATTCCTAATAACAGCGTTGCTCACTCGGGTGTCACAGGATATAAGAGCAATGCTTCAAAGACACCTATGATCGATAACCAGTAACCGACGAATATCCTCTACTCTCACTGGCCATGTTTCACAGCCATTAAGTAAGACGGAGCCAACCACTGTACAGTACACTCGTCCTTTAGTCAGCAAACGGATATGAAAGGTATTTTGAGGATTAGCTCCGTTCTTAAAGGCCCTTGGTGGGTACCCTTACCCAAGGAGACGGAAATCCGTGAGGTAGGGGAGGTGACATTTTTAGGGTCGATCTTTTCTAATTCTTCCTTCCTTCCTTGTGAGAAGGCAGCATCGCTGCAGATGCTGGTTGTCCGAGGGAAACACCTTACTGCTGTCACACCCCTCCACAGTCAGTCAGCAGTAGGACTTCGCCCTCAGACCTTGGGTAGCTGCTTTTAGTCACATCGTTCTCCAATCGATCAGCCTGGCATAGTAGGACCTGCAGGAACAAATGTTCCAGCCAGTATAGCTCGGTTGGGTTATCACGATAGGCAAGCCCGACAAGCACCACGTCAAGGTAGCAGCTACGGTCGGGACTTCATCTATTGATTTGCCATTCTTACCTAGCACCCGATTCCTAATAACAGCGTTGCTCACTCGGTTGAGGCTACACCTGCTGTAGTGACAGAGAGATGTGGGAACAATACGCATAGAGTTAAGCAAAATTTCCATATTCACAACAAAACGTAGTAGTAGTAGACAACAACTTACCAACTTTGTAATTTTAAATGACTTAAATCCGGTGATAAAACATGATCATTTAATAAAGGATAAATATGTAAAAATTTCCATCGATAACTTAGCGTTGATATACAATTGGAGATTGTTTGTAATACACTAAAAATGAAAGGAAAAAGAAACATACCGAGAAATACAATGTAAATAATGTTTATATACACATATATCTAAGCGTTTATGGGGACGTTAAATCCCCAAAACCATTGGTGACTTACGTCTCGCGGACCCAACCGAACCAGGTAGAAAGTGACGGAATCACGTCATCATCGTTTCAAATACTTAACTGGAGTTCCAGGATCCTGAATGAACAAATACACCTTTAGTTGGTTGTCGGCTACTATGGTATTGTACTTCTTGACATCACTCTAATAACTTGTGGATTAGACCTCGAAAAGAAACAACCAGTTTCGATTTGAAAGTCTTACGGTAGCTGGTGACCAATAGAACGTTCGTAGCAGTGGCTCTCCTCCTAAGGATGTTTCTATCATTGTATAAATAAGCTCGATTCGTGTGTTTGAGAGACCTCCTGTTTTCTGGGTGCTTGTAGAATACACTTTCTACAACTAGTCAAGGCTTCATCCTTTACTTAGTAGGGTCTTCGGACGCTTGGATTAGAGTAGCCTATCGTGGTCACTGGATCCTTTGTCTTTGCTCTCATTTACCGACTAGAGTTATCGAGACTGTTGCTGACTACTGTGCTGCAGAGAGGTTAGGCGTTCGTGTGCAAGACTGAAGGTCCTAGGTTTGACCGACACTGCTGATGAGTCCCATGCCAGGGGGGAAACAGTCGTCTTTCAGTGTTGCCTCCAGGTTTTTTCTAATGATGATGGTATAACATTGATCGATTCATGATTTCAGTAATAAACAACAATCTCCATAACTCTATAGTGAAAAATCGTACAATGTGTTCACTAATGACTATTAGCTTTGTGAGGAAATTCTCGGTATTCCAGTGAAAAGACGTAACATCTGGAGTTCAATCCTGTCCATTGTAGGCGATATCTACCGAATACAAGTGAGTGAGGTTGCAAACAATCCCTAGATTAATCAGAGTTAGACAACAACACCGTTGGATATCTGCCCACTGGTCCACAGGTTAATTATTCGTGCACAAGACCGAAAGTCCTGGGTTCGAATATTGTGCGGGTAGTAGTGTAGTGAATGAGAACACAGGTGGGGGCAACCGAATTGAATTTAACGAAAATTACAGAGTTACTCAGTAAAATCGGAAAACCATATCGTAAATCGTTCATTTGCAAAAGATCAGTTCATCCTATGGAACTGGACTGTTCCTGTTGCCAAACATCAATCCATTGTCACTCTTCATGCGTTTCATACAAATTCCATTGTTTTCTGACTCTTCCTTTCTTGATCTTCCCCCCATATTATGCTACCAGACTTTACGTTGACACTCACGCTATATACTACTTATAAGTAGTTCGCAACACAGCACCACACTCGTCCCCCCTTTTAATAAGCTGTCGTCGTGGTCCTTCAAAACAGAGCTCCTGGTCAGTTAATATCACCTTCCGTATTCCGTGACACGCTACACTATGCCGGATTACCACTTCGGTCATCGTTCTTGATCACTGGTCTGGAATGGATACGGCCTATCCAACGTGTAGCGTCCACAAGTTCCCGATGCTGGAACACGGCGGCAGGCACACACTCGATAAATTGCGACGCCAAAGACTGTGCCCCGTCCACTCCTCACGGCGCAATCCGGTGAGCTCCACAGCAAGCACCAACAGGTCACCATCGGCCGACAGCCGCGCCAACCGGAACCTCTGCGGCGCCTCCTCCCTGTCCGCTGGGCTGTCGAACTCCATTATCAGCCGCCCGGTGACCGTCTCCCACGCCGTCTCCTCGGTGGCACCGTCCAGGCTGTCGTGTACCGCCTCCGCCTCACCTCCCCGCAGCGTCCCCAGCACCGTCAACTCCGCCCCAGGCCCCCACCAGCTCCACCGTGGCCCCAAACTCCTCCAGGAAGCTCCGCCAATCTCCGTCCTGCAACTCCTTCGGCCACGGGAGCCCCTTCCTTCGAGCAGGCAGAGACACCAAATGTAGTGAATGAGAACACAGGTGGGGGCAACCGAATTGTATTTAACGAAAATTACAGAGTTAGTCAGTAAAATCGGAAAACCATATCGTAAATCGTTCATTTGCAAAAGATCAGTTCATCCTATGGAACTGGACTGTTCCTGTTGCCAAACATCAATCCATTGTCACTCTTCATGCGTTTCATACAAATTCCATTGTTTTCTGACTCTTCCTTTCTTGATCTTCCCCCCATATTATGCTACCAGACTTTACGTTGACACTCACGCTATATACTACTTATAAGTAGTTCGCAACACAGCACCACAGTAGGAGTCGTGGATGTACACTGCTAATGAGTCCCATAACAGGACGAAAAGGCAGTCCAGTGCTTCTTCCAGTTATCTAATAGTGGTCTGACATTGATTGATTCATAATTTCAGTAATAAAACCTGACTGTTCGATTGAATCAGAGCAGGATTCCATTTAACTGGAATTATTTACAGTCGGTTACATATCGGTGGCATTGGAAGGCCTATATATAATAAATATGAGAAATAATGATACCTACATACATACTACTATAAGCGAGTTCTTCTAATCAGTGTCATACATTTGTGCAAACTGATACAACGCAGAACTTCGTACATAAGTACATTAATTCAGGTTGCCATACCGCTTTAACACAGAGACGCAACCGTCAGTTCAAATCCCATAGCGGTAGCGATAGTAGAAGTATTAGCAGTAATGGAGAAGATAAGGGTTCGAAGATATGATTCGAGAAGTATTTTTCAGTAAGATAAATTCAGAAGGAGAAAGGTAGAGATTATGAGGAATTCAGAAGCTTAGAATTTCATAGAACACAAAGAGTGGATGCACGTGCGCCATTGTAAACGTTTTTGAACCATGTTGTTCAAGGTCTCTAACCATTGGTGACTTACATCTCGCGGATCCCACCCAACCAGGTAGACAGTGACGAAATTATGTTATAATTGTTTAAAATACTTAGCTGCAAAACCGTTATTCCAAATCAGTGGGGTACATGAGTTCCAGGATCCTGAATGAACAAATAGACCTTTAGTTGGGTGACGGCTACTATGGGATTGTACTTCGTGACATCCCTCCAATGTCTTGTGGATTAGAACTGGAAGAGAAATAACTAGTTTCGATTTGAGAGTCTTACGATAGCTGGTGACCAATAGTATGTTCATACGCTATTTTCGTCGCAGTGGCTATATATGTGTAGTTTTATAGGAGTATTTCAAGAGGGAAAATAGTTTCTTTTCACTTTCGACTGTACTAGGGCATTAGGATGAGCGCTATAACCTCATACTGAGTCTCTACACATCGACTTGAACACAAAAGAGGAAATGGTGCAAAGTTCCAAAAAAGAATGCTTTTAATCTAAGGTGAATTTATTCAAAAATACACACGGTTATTTATGGGATTACCCATGAACTTGGGCATTTGGAAGTTTTCGAAACCATACAAAATATAGTAACGGTATGAGTAAATATTCAGCCGAAAATGTGTTCCTTGACTTTGAACTTTCTCATTGTTTCTGAGTAGCTACTGCTTAACTATGATCAGATAAAGTGTTTCCATGGGTTACCTGGTTTAGGTTATTGACTTTTCCAAATAATACTTTCAAACAATCAAACAAAACTTTTTAAAAACATTGTTTTCACTCTCTGTTGGGGATGTTAGATCCCCAAAATTCGCTTGATAAATGCCTTATTTCGGTTTTCACGTTTGCGAGCATAGGCTGATCAGTTGACCTTGAGATTTCAATTCCCAACAGGAAAATCCACGGCTGTGATAGGCTGCTGCTGTGTATTTTAGTGTGTTATTTTCTTAACTGTCCCAAGGACGTTTCTATGTTGTATAAATAAACCAGAGTTGTATGCCTGATTGTACTGTGATTGCTGGGTGTTTGTAGAATATACTTTCTACGCTTACAAAGTCTTTTCACTCTATATGGGGATTCAAGGTAGCCTACCTGGACGCTGGTAATTGTCTCGTTCGCGTTTATCGACTAAGGTAAACTCGTAATAGCCTCAAGCATACTTAGTGACGAACCTAACACTCTCTCAGTGCGTTACAATGTACTATTTGGTACATTGATATACATCAGTTCAAGTTTCCATACTACGATAGCAGACAGAGATGCAATTATCAATTCAGAATCCATAGTAGTAGAAGTATGAGCCGTAATGGAGAAGATTAGGGTTCGAAAAAATTATCCAACAAAATATCCGCAAGAAGAGAGGAATTTGGACGATTAGGATTTGAGAGAACACAAAGAATGGATGCATCTATAGTGCCTCCACATGTAATATTCCAGTTCGCTTACATTTAATAATTTTGTTAAGCCCTTTCGATTAATTTATTTAACCGACCAAGCCATTTGTATTGCAACAATTTATATGTACCATTCGTTCTTATTATTATCGTCTGGTTTGTATGATGAGCTCACATGACATATCCCACTTGTCATTTGACCTTGTCAACTATTCGTCGCTTTTATTAATGTGTGCCTATTTCGTTTGTCGCATGTCTGCCTTATATTTGTCTGACTATATATCCTTAGTCATGCTCTATCTTAAGGAGTTGGCTCATTAGCCATTCTCCACATCGGTCTACACTATTCGCTTCAGTCACTCATTCGGTTGCCAGTGTACACTACAAATGGTGATCCCGACGTCAACAAAATCGGCCACCATAAAAATGGTGACCCCCGACGTTTCCAGGATTAATTTGACGATTCTGAAGACAAATTGAATACAACCAACCAATTAGTGGTAATCTCGAAAACAAATCGAACAGAACCACTAACTGGAAATCCCGACGCCATACAGCGACAAAGCAGTGAATAAATCGAATGAAGTGACGTGAATTGGAGAAGGCTGTTGAGCCAATCCGAACGAACGGACGAAAGAAGCGGATGAACAGGCGAAGCGCGTTGGAGAAAGCTAATGAGCCAACTCCTTGAGATAGAGCATGACTAAGGATATATAGTCAAACAAAAATAAGGCAGACATATGACAAGCGAAATAGGCGTGCACACACATGAATAAAAGCGACGAATAGTTGACAAGGTCAAATGACAAGTGGGACACACGTCATGTGAGCTCATACAAACCAGACAATAATAAGAACGAATGGTACATATAAATTGTTGCAATACAAATGGCTTGGTTGGTTAAATAAATTAATCGAAAGGGCTTAACCAAATTAGATGTAAACAAACTGGAATATTATATGTGGAGGCACTACACATCTGAGCCACTGCAAGCGATTTTTCGAAATATTTAAAGTCTCTAACTACCAGTTAACGATGTGTCGTGGAGCTTAACCAAGTAGTTAGTCTACACCCATTAACATGGCTTAGTTTACTTGTCAGTCAGTCAGATGCAACGTAGAACTTCGTACGTAAGTACATCAGTTCATGTCACCATATCACATCAGCACAGAGATATAATTGTCAATTCAAATCCAATAGTAGTAAAGGTATTAGACGTAATTGGAGAGGTTAGGATTAAAGGATATTATTCAAGAAGTATGATTCAGTGAGAAAAGTTTAGAAAGTCAAAAACTAGAGGGGTTGAAGACTCCAGAAGATTACAGTCACGTTCAGATCGAAAACCAGCCCGGTTACATCTAGTCTGCCCTTCACGAGCTTTCGTTAAGCGCCGAAGTATTATTGAGGCCAATATTTTAGATACTATATTAGTTAGACTTATTCCTCTGTGATTGTCACAAGAAGACTTTTGTCCTTTCTTATAGATTGGGACAGTCAGTGCTTGAGACCAGTCGGATGGGATTACGTCCACTTCCCAGATTCTACCTAAGATCTGGGTCAACCTAGCTGCTAAAACTGGATCACCATCCTTAAATATCTCACGGGTCAGTCTATCAGGACCTGCAGCTCGTCCTAGCTTCAGATTCCCTAACGCTTTCTCAGTTTACTTGTCAGTGACTTCATAGATTTGTGTCATTTTCCGGTCTGCCTGCCACCTAGCTTTCTTTCAACCTACTCCTACATCACAAAACATCGACCGTCGTGGAAGTCGTTGGTTGGGTATACACATAACACATGTCCAAACCATCTCAACTGATGAAGTTTCACTATTTCATCAAAATATACAAAGAATAACTATGATGCAGTTTATGACAATACCAATTACAAATTCAACGAGTTACTCATCAAAATTAGGCATGTATACATGCACATACACATGTATATACTACTTACAATTAATGAGTAGTATGATATATTATCGGAAATTTGTCGTCACACACACACTAGAGTCAATCGATTCACTCTTCACAGATCTATAAGCTTTTCATTCATACATGCTTTTTTTGCACCTGGAAATTGATTGTACATATCAAGTCACATGTTAGTGTACTTTAAGCTAATAGTGAGTGATATTATGTCAATCCACAATGAGAAGACAATGATGATGGGGTTGGTTATCTCATTTCATCACTCCAGACCCCCCAACACTACCGCCTATATTATATATCCTTGTGAATATTACAAGTAAAAAGAATAAAACTAACCTTGGATTAATTGGTTTCATTGGATCCAATGATGGCATTGGATCACCTAATAAAGCTGATAAAGTATGACCAATTGATTCACTTAGTGTATCCAAATTATAACCACCCTTGAATAATAATAATAATAATAATAATAATAATAATGATAGTAATAATAAGTATGAAAGAGTAGTGAGAGTGAACAATAGTTGAATTGACACAACGTGACCAATGGAGTTCAACCATGTCGGGTGTAGGCAGTAACTACTACTACTACTACTACTACTACTACTACTACTACTACTACTACTACTACTACTACTACTACTACTACTACTACTACCCGAAGACAAATAGGTGAGGTCGAGCAAAAAACCCCTAAAAACCCCTAGATCCATCATAGTTAGATATTAACACTGTTGGATGCAGGCCCGATGATTCAAAATTTAGGCGTTCGCGCGAAAGATCGAAGGTCCCAGGTTAGAATCTTGCAAAATGTTGCTTCAAGACTGGGTTGCATCAACACCTGAACTGATGACAGGGAGTGAAGTAGTCGAGCGTGTTGATCGCTTCACTTATCTGAGAAGTCTCATCAGCAATGATAGCCTGGTGACTGACGAAATCTCAGCTCGGATACAGAAAGCTTGATTGGCTTTTGCCAAACTGCGTCACTTATGGTGTAGGCGTGATATCCGTTCGCTAACCAAAGGACGGGTGTACTGCGCAGCAGTTCGCTCCGTTCTCCTATATGGCTGTGAAACATGGCCGTTAGGAGATGTTAGTATGTTATTATTATGTTTAAGAAGCATTGCTCGTATATCGTGGGACAACCGAGTAAGCTATGCTGTCGTTAGGAAACGAGTACTAGGTAACGATGGCAGATCAGTAGATGAAGTGGTGAAACTTCATCAGTTGAGGTGGGGCTTCGAACATTACTCTTCAGTGTGGACTTCGAATGAGACAGGGACGTTCATATTTTGATCGGATATACTGAGTAAGACACCGCGAAAAAAAAATAAACGCCTTAACCAATTACGGAATAAAAAACTTCGGGGTTACATTGAAAAAACAAAAAAAATAGTGTAGCTTACTTCTAAACCGACAATAATTTTGCCTTCCGCTAACGCCATAAGTTTATGCGTAAGATGAGCAAACAACGATGGACTAAGATTTAATTGACCCTGAGAGATTTAATGAAAAAAATTACAGAGAGAGAGTAACTAATTATATTGATGTTAAGAGATGGGTTGAAATGATGAATTGGTGTGAGACTGTATACCTTGATAGAATGAGTCAGTTGATACACATCTATGTTACTCATACTGATTAATTTTTTGCCTTAATGCCCTATTAAGTTCTTTTTTACGTTCACTGTCGTCATGTTTTTCAATTTCCTCTCACTTGATTTTTGTGAATTGATTTATACTACTTATTTATATTCAGTAATCACATTAAATCTTGAATAATTTCCAATGGCGTAATGTAATGCCTGGTGGAGCATAGGCCGGCAGAACGGGTTTTCTCCAACCACAGAGATGAGATTGTAAAAACGAATACCGAAGTAACAGAACTAGTATGATTGTTGTTTGGATATGTCAAGTTACAAGATTAATTTTCGAAAAGACGAAAAGTGAACATCTATCGCTTGAAACGAGGTTAGTAGGATGCAGGCGATCCATATTCAAGACCAATGATGAATATCCGGACCAAAGATGCTACCTTGACGTGGTGGTCGGGATTGCCTATGGTGATGACCCAACCGAGCTATACTGGCTAGAGCATATGTTCCTGAAGGTTCTACCATGCCAGGTAGGTCGATTGGAGAACGATGAGACTAAAAGCAGCTACCAAAGGTCTGAGGGCGAAGTCGTACTGCTGATTGCAGAGGGGTGTGACAGCAGTAAGGTGTTTCCCTCGGACAACCGGCATCTGCAGTGATGCTACCTTCTCACAAGAAATGAAGGGTCAGAAAAGGTCAACCTTAAAAATGTCACACCTCAGCCTATCTCACGGATTTCCGTCTCCGTCGATGAGGGTGCCCACCAAGGGCTTTCAAGAGCGGAGCTAACACTCTAAAAACTTCACATAAAAAGGCCGTGCATGACCGGCCTCAAGCAGCTGTCCCCTGGGCTCTGCAGTCACGCAACCAGGTTTCTAAGACCATCGCTAATCTACCTTCCTTTTCAGATTTCTCAAGAAACAGCCTTCCACGGTGTGGGCAGCCGGGAAGTGATAACCGCCCTCATACCCGCGTAACAGCACGCGAGACCAAATTGGTCAAAATCAAATCCTTCAAAAATGTTGAATATGGACTCCAGGATTCTGAGTGAACAACAAGCGGTGTATGAACCCCATTATATATTGGTAAGGGGTTACTATTGGATTGCATATTTTAACGTCATTCATTTATAAACCAAAATCGTTGGGAAGTGCCCTCAAAGCAAACTACCTCCTTTGGGTTCAGACACCCGTCAAGCGATTATCCATCCATGAAACTAATTGACTAGTAACTACAAGATAACTAAATGAACAATCATATCTAGAGAGCTAATCCTTGAACTTTTGGTTCAAATATTTAATTCACAAGTCAATGTGGATTAACGTTACGAGATACAGTCTTATGATAAACACAATAGAAGTTCCTTCAGGATGCTGATGAGCATTTTCCAACTCCTCTGTATCCACTAAATTGATTTACGCTTCGATTATCTGTTTTTCAACCACTTAATTTCGTAAACAACATGTGCGCCGTGAGAAAGCAAAGAATAAAGAGTTATCTAACATGGGTCATATGTTCTTTAAATACCTTAATATAACATAAGCTACTGAGCAATAATAAGTAGTATAAATTTATATACAAAAATGAGCAAGTTAGAGGAAATGTAAGTTAGAAAGTGAGTGGAGAACGGATTGAATAATAATGTAAAACATTCACATTCAAGCGAGTCTAACACTGATCATTCACCTAACTGGACTGTTTGAGAACCACCTCAAAGAAAAAAAAGAAACTCGATAGTAGTAGTAGTGTGGTGTGTGCTACTTATACGAACGATATAAGTAGTATAAGAAAGGACGTGAAAGAAGTCTCACGGTCAGAAGAGGAAAACGGAAAGCAAATGGAGCAAAAGCAAGAAGTAAATGGAGTACCAACAGGAAGGAAAGGAAGCAACAACAGGAATGGAAGAAGAATAGAGCGTTGGAAATCACGACTCAAAGATGGTGTGCAAACAGAGTAAGTATTCAATGTAATGTTTTCGTTTTAATTGACTCAGAGTGTAAATTTGCTTAATACAATCTTCCTCGTCTGCCTTAGTCTTCTCAATTGGTGTCGCTGCCTCTACACAGGATGAAGATACCATGGCCTCGGGAGTTTGAAGACGGAGATGTGAAGAGCTTCTTGAAGGAGTTCGAGACCGTGGCGGAGTTGGTAGGAGTCAAGGAGCAGAGGGCGAAGGCGGTGGTGTTGAGGACACTACTAAGAGGCAGGGCGAGAGCGGTGTACGATGGTGTGGAGGACGCTGACAGAAAGGCTGCTGGTGGAGTTCGACAGCCCGGCAGATAGGCAGGACGCGCTGCAGAAGTTCCGAGAGGCGAGACTGACGGTGGATGGCGACCCACTCGTGCTGGCTGTGGAGTTGACAAGATTGCTGCGCCGGGGTCTGCCGAATTCGGATGAGGAGTCGCAAGCACAGCTGCTAGCGTCGCAATCCATTGAAAGTGTGCCTGCAGAGGTAACAAGACAAGTAACAAGAAGTAACAAGACAACTGATAAACTCAACAGTCGCCTCGGTGGCGTGTGAGAGACAAGCGGATGGTGTCGTAAAGAAGATAGAAGAGTTACAACGCGAGGCGGCAGCGTTACGAACAAAGGGTGGAAGAAATAATAAATGCTATATTTGCGGAGGAACCGGGCATTGGAAAACGAAAATATTACATTGAACACTCTATTTGCACACCATCTTTGAGTCATGACTTCCAACGCTCCATCCTTCTTCCATTCCTGTTGTTGCTTCCTTTCCTTCCTGTTAGTACTCCATTTACTTCTTGCTTTTGCTCAATTTGCTTTCCGTTTTCCTCTTCTGACCGTGCGACTTCTTCATTTAAGTCCCTTCTTATACTACTTATTTCGTTCGTATAAGTAGCACACACCACAGTAGTATGATTTTTAAGTGCAGAAAATACTTTTGTTTATTCGATATCTTATAGTCTGTTGTATCATATAAAATAACACGTAATACAAGAAATTTTTAAATATTTAATATCCATGAAACAAATTTATCACTTACTACAGGACAACCAAATGCAGAATCATAGCCAGCGGAAACAAATATTAATTCTGGATCAAACTAGAAATGAAAAAAAAGTGGAGGGAAGCATGAAAATAGAACAAACCAATCAATAACATTATTGGAAAATAAAGATTACTTGTTGGACACAGCTAGCAACATATCCGACTGTAGCTGCTACTCTAACGTGGTGGTCGCGATTGTCTGACCCAAAATAGAGCTATATTGACTGAAATATGTGCCTTTTCTAGGTCTTATCATGCCAGGCAGATCTATTGGAGAATAATGAGACTAAAGACAGCAACTCAACACAAGGTTTGAAGGTGAAGTCATACTGCTGACTGCTGTCAGCAGTGTTTCGAGTGGACAACTAGCATATCTGCAGCGATCCTGATTTCTTACAAGGAATGAAGGGGTTAGATAAGGTCGATCCTAAAATTGTCACACCTCAACTTAACTCATGGATTTCCGTCTTCGGTGGTAAGGCCACTTGAAGAACGGAGCTAACACATTATAAACTTCCCATAAAAAAAGACTGTGCACAACTGGCCTTAGGCAGTTGTCCGATGAGATCTGCGGCCTCTAAGACCAACACTAATCTAACTTCCTTTTCAGGTTCTTCAGGAAACAACCTTCCACGGTGTGAGCAGCCGGGAAGTGACATTCGCCTTCAAACTCGTAACAGTACACGAGAATAAAGTAGTTACAATCAAATCCGTCCTATGCTTCTTAAGAACCCTCTTGACTGCATGACCAAACTGACAGATAACTAGCGTAGTAATCAATATTACGGTTATCTATTTTTTTAAATGGTAACTGTACTCTATCAATTAGATTACAATGGAACAGTGTATATGCTTGTTTCAGAAGCTTCTGAAACATCAGGGAAAGATTTCAGGAAAATATGGCGCAGGTACACGCATTCATTCTTTGTATTCTCTCAAATTCTAATCTTCTGAATTCGCCATCACCTTCATCTTTCTCACTAGATTATACTTCTTGAATAATATCTTAGAACTCTGATCTCTGCGATTACTGCTATAATAATTGTACTAGCAGCCTCTACTATTATGGGATTTGAATTGACAATGCCATCTCTCTGTGCTAATATGGTATGGCAACTTGAACTGATGCACGTAAGTCAGTCAGTCAGTCACTTGCAACGTAGAACTACGTACATATGTACATAAGTTCATGTTAACATACCACATTAACACATATATGCAAATGTCAAATCAAATCCCATAGTGATAAAGATAGTAGAGGTATTATTGGTAATGAAGAACACTAGGGTTTGAAGATATTATTGAAGAAGTACAATTCAGTGAGATAAGGTTAGAAAGACAAAGGTAGAGGTGCTGACGAATCCAGAAGATTAGCATTTGAGAGAGAGCACAACGAATGGATGCACTTGTCCCATTGCAAACGATTTTGAGTCATGTCGTTCTAGGTATCTAACCATCGATTACTAGCATCTCGCGGGCCCCAACCAGGTAGCCTACATCTACCAACATGACTGAGTCCACTTGTCAGTGACTTCATGGATTTCTGCCACGTTTTGGTCTGGCCGCCCTTAGCTTTCTTCCAACCTTCTCATTCACTACAAAACAAAGCTCGTCGAGGCAGTCGGTGGTTAGGCGTACGCAACACGTCCTAACCACCTCAAGTGATGAAGTTTCACTACTTCATCTATTGATCTGCCATCCTTACCTAGCACCCATTTCCTAACGACAGCGTTGCTTACTCGGTTGTCCCACGGTATACGAGCAATGATTCTTAAACATCTATGATCGAATACTAGTAACCTACGAACATCTACTCTCACTGGCCATGTTTCACAGCCATATAGGAGAACGGAGCGAACTGCTGCGCAGTAAACTCGTCCTTTAGTCAGCAAACAGATATCTCGTCTATGCCATAAGTGACGCAGGTTGGCAAAAGTCAATCGAGCCTTTTGTATCCGAGCTGAGATTTCGTCAGTCATCAGGCCATCAGCGCTGATGAGACTCCCAAGATAAGTGAAGCGGTCTACACGTTCGACTACTTCACTCCCTATCACTAGTTCAGGTGTCGATGAAACCCAATCTTGAAGCAACATTTTGCATTTCGACGGGGAAAACCGCATCCCGAACATGCTTGCATTGTTGCTTAGGGTGGTCAGAAGACTCTGCATTTTGTCAGCGTCTTCACCGAATAGAACTATGTCATCGGCATATTCTAGATCAGTAAGCGACTTTCCTGGTAGAAGGTCAGCCCTGAAAAATCTGACGAGGATAAGGTTATATCCAGGAGCATGTCTATGATAAAATTAAACAAGAATGGAGAAAGTGGACATCCCAGACGGACGACATCACTTGAAGTAAAGAATTTCGGGTGACAGTTTGCCATAGGCTCTCACTCGACCAGTAGTGTTCGAGTAGAGTGTTTGTATAAGGTTAATGTACTTCTTTGGTACACCTTTCAAGATGTACGTAAGTACGTACGTACGTACGACGTTCTACGTTGTAACATACAGACAGACAGACAGACAGACAAACAGACTGACTTCTAATTACCGCCATCACACAAAACGACATTCACATTGTTCACAATTTTTAATAAATAGAAAAAAGAGATGAAAACATAATTTGAACTTACTTCATAAGCTAAAGGCAGAACGATTCGATGAAATATAGTCAAGTAATCGGAATCGCCAATATCTTTCTATAAATAAGTAAAAAAGAGTATGAAAAGCATGATAAATAATATATATCTTCAAATAATATCATTTATTCAATTCGGTTGGCGCATGTTGTTGTATCGTAGAATTTTGCTTTTCCCTTTGTGTATGTTGAGACCTAATGCTGCTGCTGCTACACTGGTCGTCTTCTTCTCTTGCATTTGTTGTTGAGTGTGAGATAGAAGAACCAGATTATCTACGAAGTCCGGATCGTAAAGCTGCATCCAGACTATCAACTGGATACCACCATGCTTTCATCCAAATGCTGACATCTTCATAATCTAGTCGATCACTGGGAGAAAGAGAAAGGGTGAGAGAGTAAGCAACCCTGACTGACACCGGTCTTCACATCGAATGAGTCTGTCAGTTGTGCTGCGTGGATTATTTTGCAGTTTAATCCATCATAAGAATTCCGTATGATGTTAACTACTTTTTCAGGCACACCGTAGTGTCGAAGAAGCCTCCATCAATGAAGTTGATGTAGAATGGTTAGTTCTACACTGATCTGTAATGTTGTTATTCGGTCAGTACACGATTGATTCTTACGAAATTTAGCCTGTTGATCTCGAAGTTGGGCAGCTACGAAGTCCTTCATTCTGTTTAACAATACCCTGTTGAATAGTTTGCCTGGTATTGAGAGAAGAGTGATGTCTCTGTAGTTCTCACACTTGGTGAGATCACCTTTCTTTGGTATTTTGATCACGTATCCTTCTTACCAATCTGATGATACTTGTTACTCATCCCAAATCTTGTTGATGAGAATGTGGAATATTTTTGCAGTTGCTGCCACGTCTGCTTTCATTGCCTCTACTGGAATGTCGTCTAGTTCTGCTGCTTTGCCGCTCTTGATTTATCTGATTACCATACTGATCTCCTCAATTGTAGGTGCGCCAATATAAATTGGGAGGTCCGTAGATGCTGCTTCGATGTTCGGTGGGCTCAGTGGAGCCTTTCGATTCAGGAGTTCCTTAAAGTGCCCTACCCACCTATTTCGCTGTTCATCAGTGTTGCTGATTACTTTGCCTTCCTTGCTTTTCACTGGTCGTTCTGGTTTACGATGGTTTCGGGCGAGCTTCTTTGTTATTTCATACAACTGTCTCAAGTTTCCATCTCTTGCAGCCTTTTTCGCCGTCATTGCTAGAGATCTTCCACATATTTTCGTTTGTCAGCTCTGATGCTCTTCTTCACTTGTCTGTTTGCTTCTGTGTATGCAGATTGTGCGATAACTTTCTCTGCTCTTGTTCGGCTGACATTCACCGCTGCTTTCTTGTTCCTCCTTTCTTCAATTTTCGCAAGAGTATCAACAGAGATCCATTCCTTGTGATGGTACTTCTTGTGACCCACAACTTCGTGACATGTTGAAGCGATTGCCTCCTTGATCCCTTTCCAATTGTTCTCCAATGTTGCTTCCTCTCCACTGAGTAGATCCTGAAAGGCCTGGAACCTATTGGTGAGGGCTATCTTGAATTCGTTGAGTTTTACGGTACCCTAAAGAAAGGCTGTATTAATCTTTTGTGATGTTGTCTGCCCCGTTATCCAGTGTTTCTTGAGTTTCAGTTTCATTTTAACGACCAGCAAACGGTGATCTGAAGCTATATCAGCTCCTCTCCTGGTTCTCACATCCTCCATAGTCCTTCTGAACGTTTTGTTGATACAGATATGATCAATTTGGTTTTGAGTAGTGTGATCCGGTGAAATCCATGTGGCTTTGTGTATGCTCTTGTGCCGGAATATTGTGCCACCGATGACAAGTTTGTTGAAGGCACATAGGTTCGCAAATCTCTCACCATTTTCGTTCCTTTCTCCTAGTCCATGTCATCCCATGATGTCTTCATATCCAGTATTGTCCATGCCAACCTTAACATTTCGGTCTCCCATCAGAATGGTCAAATCCTTTGGTGAGCATCTGTCGGCGATTGAATGCAGCCTTTCGTAGAATTGATCTTTAACGTCGTCATTGGTAGGTGCGTAGCATTATAGAAGACGTTCATTGTAATGTCCTCTTTCTTTGTTTTTTAATGGGTGCTTTAATGATCCTAGGGTCCATGAGATTCCCATCCTATCACAGTATATTTTCTGCGTGTTTGGACAGCATCAGTGCAACTCCTTGTGTATGTGAAGTATACATTTAAATTTTCACAAAAAACACACCCAACAAAATAAAACAAACACATACATCGTTCAATGCAACATTCACATTGAATCCACGACCACGACCAGTACCAATAAAATCATAATTGGATTCACGTAGATTAGGCCAATATTCTCCATTATCATATCGATGAATTGATATGAATAGAACTCTATATTCATAGATTATAATAAACGATAAAATTAAAAAAGTAATCTTTCAAATAAAAGAGAATCACAGTTAGAAATTCGAAGCAAGCAACAACTGAGAGACGGTCGCTCCATCCTGGTACGAGCCTCTTCAGCAGTGAAGGCTCTAACTACTGAAGACGAATGGGGTGAGGTCACGCAAAATCCTTAGATTGATCAATGAATGGTCCAGAGGTTAGGAGTTCATGCCTAAGACCGAAAGTCCTGTGGTCGAATCCTGTGAGTAGCAGGAGTCATGGATGCGCACTGCTGAAGAGTCCCATATCAGGACGAAATGTCCGTCTTCCAGTGCTTCTTTCAGGTTTCTAATGGTGTGTGCGTGTGTGTCCGTATGTATGTAAAAACAATGATCTCCATAACTCGAATTGTTACTGTATATAGGATAAGCTAAGTTCGCCTATAGAAAGTTAGGCTAGTGTTCTGAGTTACAAATATCACTCTATAGAGTTTCCGTCATTCCGCCTGGAACCCTTTTACGCCTACTGCCAGTCCTAAGCCCGCATAGAAGAGGAGGCTTGGATGTAGGGTTAGCGACCCCAACCCGTAGAAAACTAACTCGCTAAAACAGAACGCTAATCAGAAAACATTATTCAAACCATTTAAACTATGCCCTAGGAATTGAAATGTCTTCATTTAGAAGAGTTGTAACATCTCATAATGAAAGTTGAGTTCCTTGGTAAGTCATGGTCAGTCGTGGGGATAAGGAGGATGTTAAGGGGTGTAGGAAGGAGTTGATTATGACCACTTTGGTCCCATCAACTGATACGGGTATGAGGGCGGATATCACTTCCCGGCTGCCCACATCGTGGAAGGATGCTTCTTGAAGTACCGGAAAAGGAAGGCAGATTAGTGTTCGTTCTAACGACCTGGGAGCGTGACCACAGAGCCTTGGAAACAAATGCTTCAGGCAAGGCACGCACGGCCTTTTTATGAGAAGCTTTTGGAGTGTTAAGTCCGTTCTTTTTAAAAGCCCCTACGGCTGGAGACGGAAATCCATGAGGTAAGGTGAGGTGTGACATTTTCAGGGTCGACCTTTTCTAAACCCTTCTTTTCTTGTGAGAAGGCAGCATCACTGCAGATATGCTGGTTGTCCGCTAGAAACACCATACTGATGTCACACCTCTCTACAGTCAGCACTTTATGACCACGACTAGGACCAGGGCTCGGTCCCGGATCCCTAGTTCGGGATCCTGAATATCTTCTGGATTCGGACCTCGTACTTTCTGGATGCTTGTAGAATACACGTTCTACTTCATATCATGTCTTCTTATTTTTTACCAAATATGTGGGTTGGGATAATTGGATTTGAGTAGCATATCGTGTCGCTGGATCCTCACTTTAGTTTTCCGACTAGGTAAACTCGTAATAGTTCAATTATATCAAGTTGACGTGTTTACGTGCAGGCGTAACATCAAACCCGTAGGAATATGTATTCAACAAGTATCCAGAAAGTACAAGGTTCGAGTTCACAGTTCCAAGAATCAGAATCCCGGATCTGGGTCATAAACTAAAAAAGTTACAGATAATGCATATTGATACATTTTTAAGTCGAATAGGAAACACCATTTGACATACGTGACATTGATAGTTGAGATGACCAATAGAAATAATTCTCTTAGGATATTTGGGATAAATATCCTAAATATCATCACAAAACATGACACTTACTTTGGATTATCATAAAATGCATATTGTGTAGTATTTCCATGATGTACATCCCAATCAATGATCAGTATACTATGTGTACCAAGTGATAAGAGAGAAGCGAAAAAAGAAATATCAACAACTCTTAGAGAATAAACATCACCAAAAAATATGATGAGTAGGAGAGAATGTATTAATACTGTTGTGCTTTTAAAGCAGGGGCACTTTGGGAAAATGTTTTATACAGAATATTGTTTAAGTAGGTGTTGAGGATGTTAGTTAGATCCCCAGAACTAGCTTGATAAAAATGCCTTATTATTTTCTGGATTTCACGTTTGCAGCCAGTATGGGCTGATCAGTTGACCTTGAGATTGCATTTCTCACCACCAGGAAAATTCATGGCTGTGTGATTGGCTGCTGTGTACTTTATTTTAGTGTGCTATTTTTGTAACTGTCCCAAGGACGTTTCTATGATGTATAAATAAATGAGAGTTGTGTGTTGCTTGATTGTATTGTGTGATTGCTGGGTGTTTGTAGAATATACTTTCTACGCTATATCAAGACTTCCGTTTTACAGCTTGGGATTCAAGGTAGCCTACGCTGGTTCATTGTCTCGTTCGCGTTTATCGTCTAAGGTGAACTCGTAAAATAGCTTTAAGCGTACCTAGTGACGAACATAACAGGTAGGTGTCACTTTAAAATACGAAGTAGGAGAAGGGTTTGTTTTCAACGAGGTCAATGTGTAAGCTATTGGACCCACAAGGTGGTAGTGTGGAGTAATGTATTAGGCGATTCATTGCCATGGTAACCGTTGGACTAACAAGAGATTCTATATGCCGTTTGTCCGATGGAGATGCTGGAGCTCATGTGAAGAGTTGGTTTGGTGGAATGAGGGAATTTTAAGCCCCTACGTCCAGGTGCATTCTCCCATATCAGTTTACTGTGTGAAGTCTGTTCATACACATGGTTAAATTACCATTCGGTTACATTAACTAATATGAAATTTGTGATGAAAATTGATCGAATGAGCCGAATCAAAAGTGATCAAATAAGACGATTACTTGATGAGAGTCAAAACTATTTCAAAAGAACGAATATATATATAGATATGTCATTGGTTAAGAAATGGATTCCTTTTCTACGGTGATGGAATATATGTCAGTCAGTCAGTCTATGGCAACGTAGAACTTCGTATGTACGTACATCAGTTCAGGTTGTCATACCACATTATTAGCACACAGAGACGCAAATGTCAAATCAAATCCCATAGTCATAGGAGAGATAGTAGAGGTATTAATGGTAATGAAGAAGACTAGGGTTTGAAGATATTATTATTCAAGAAGTATAATTCAGCCAGATAAGGTTAGAAAGACAAAGGGGTAGAGGTGCTGACGAATCCAGAAGATTAGGATTTGAGAGAGCACAACGAATGAATGCATCTGCGCCATTGCAAACGATTTTGATCCATTTCGTTCAAGGTCCCTAACCATTGATGACTATCGTCTCGCGGACCCCAACCAGTTAGCCTACATCTACCAACATGACTCAATCCAGTTGTCAGTGATTTCATGGATTTCTACCACGTTTTGGTCTGGCCGCCCCTAGCTTCCTTTGAAGATATTATCTAACAAGTGTAATCCAGTGATGAAAGTGATCAGGAATTCAGACGAATATGATTTGAGCGAACACAAAGAATGAATGCACTTGCATTCAAAGTCTTTAACCATCGGTTAGCAAATTGTCTCACAGACCTCAAAGAAGGTAGTCTACACCAACTGACATAGGTCAGTCCAGTCGTTAATGATATTTCATGGATTTTTGCCATGTTTCGATCTGGTCGCCCGTCTTAACTTCCTTCCAGCTTACACCTACCTACACCCATTTATACATAAATTATTATCAGGCAAATCTAATAGATAAGAAAGTCAGTCAGTTACAGCGTAGAACTTTGTACATCAGTCATACATTCAGATTGCCATACCCTGTCAACACACAAAGACACATTTTGTCAGTTCAAATTCAATAGTGGTAGTGACAGTAGAAGTATTACTGGTAATGAAGAAGATTAGGGTTCGAAGATATGATTCAAGAAGTATAATTCATAACTTTCGAAAGAGAAAAATAGAAATGATGAAGAATTAAAAAAGGTTAGAATTTGAGAGAAAATAATGAATGAATGCAAACGATTCGAAGCCATATCTCTAACCATCGGTTACTATCATCAACAAACAAAGCTCGTCGAGGCAGTCGGTGGTTAGGCATGTGTTACGTATGCCTAAACACCGACCGCCTCGACGAGCTATGTTTTATAGTGTAGGAGTAGGTTGGAAGAAAGCTAGGAGCGGTCAGACCAAAACATGGCACAAATCCATGCTGGTAGATGTAGACTACCTGGTTGAGGTCCGCAAGACCAAAGTCACCTATGGTTAGAGACTTTGAACGACATGGATCAAAATCGTTTGCAATGGCGTAAGTGCATCCATTCTTTGAGCTCTCTCAAATTCTAATCTTCTGGATTCGTCAGCACCTCTACCCCTTTGTCTTTCTAACCTCCTTATCTCACTGAATTATACTTCTTGAATAATAATATCTTCAAAACCATAGTCTTCTTCATTACCATTAATACCTCTACTATCTCTACTATCACTATGGGATTTGGTTTTTGACAGTTGCGTCTCTGTGCTAATAATGTGGTATGGCAACATGAACTTACGTACACACGTACGATGTTCTACGTTGCCATAGACTGACTGACTGACATATATTCCATCACTGTAGAAAATGAAGCCATTTCTTAACCAATGACATTTGTCCTTTTGAAATATTTTAGACTATCATCAACTAATCGTTTTATTGGATCACTTTTAATTTGGTTCATTGACGACTGAACTGAGCTAGGTCAGTAGGTGTAGACTACCTTCCTTGAAGTCTATGAGACAATTTGCTAACCGATGGTTAAAGACTTTGAATGATGACATGGCTCAGAATCGTTTGCAATGGCGCAAGTGCATCCATTCGTTGAGCTCTCTCAAATCCAAATCTTCTGGAATCGTCTCAGCACCTCTACCCCTTTGTCTTTCTAACCTTATCTCACTGAATTATACTTCTTGAATAATAATATCTTCAAAACCCTAGTCTTCTTCATTACCATTAATACCTCTACTATCTCTACCACTATGGGATTCGAACTGACAATTATATCTCTTGCTGATGTGGTATGACAACATGAACTTATGTGTACATAAAATACGAAGTTCTTACGTTGAAACCGACTGACTGACTGACTAATTGACTAACTATCATTACCAATTGGATAGGAAATGCCTCCTCCAAGTAAAATATTAAGCACATATCAATGTTTTCTAATTTTATTTCAAATTATATCAAAATAACATGAAATATCAGAGAAAAAAAACTCACTAACCGATTATAATTGAATTGTTCAATGGCATAATTCACTGCAATTGCAACATTATTATAAATACAAAAGCCACACGCCTCATTGGTCAATGCATGATGACCTGGAGGTCTGATTGGTTAATTTTAGAAGAGGAAAAAAAAAGTAAAAATATCAATAAATTGATTGGTAAATCCGATTTTTCCAACTACTAGATTGGTGGCTTTAAAAAGTAAGTAAGGAAACTAGAAAAAAAACAAGGAGTGGATGTAACTGCACCAGTGCAAATGATTTTTAAGTCAACTCGTTTAAGGTCTCCCTCTCTATAACCATCGGTGAGTTTTGTCTCATAGATCCCGAACCAGCTAGCGTACATCGCTATCAACATGACTTAATCCACTTGTCAGTGATGGCATGGATTTGTGTCATGTTTTGGTTTAAGCCGCCCTTAGACACATATATGTGTCAAATAAGTCAATCAATCGACAGCAATGTAGAACTTCATAAATATATCAGTTGCCATACCATATTAGCACAGTGAGATGGAATTGCCAATTCAAATAATCACATAGTAGTACAAGTAGTCTCACTTACAATCGGATTCTTAATACCGGTATGCTTGATGAGTCTGAATAGTAGTCTACTGTTGCATTTTCCATATCCCATCATTGTTTGCGATCATTGAGTAGGCTTTCTATCAGCCTGTGCCTAAGATGACTCCTGTCCTCATCGCACTCAGTCAGAGCCAAGCGAGATGAACTTTCGAGCATCCATCAGTTCGGTAGATGTCACAAATGAGACTGATCAATTGCAATTCTATCTATGAATTCTGAAGCTGACATACAACGCAGAACTTCGTACGTAAGTACATCAGTTCAGGTTGCCATACCGCAGCAGCATAGAGACGCAACTGTCAGTTAAAATCCAAGAGTGATAGTGATAGTAGAAGTATTAGCAGTAATGGAGAAAATTAGGGACCGAAGATATGATTCGAGAAGTATAATTCAGTAAGAAAAATTTAGAAGGAGAAAGGTAGAGATGATGAGGAGTTCAGAAGGTTAGAATTGGAGAGAACAAAAAGAGTGGATGCACCTGCACCAGTGCAAATGATTTTGAGTCATGTCGTTCAAGGTCTCTCTAACTATCGGTGACTTTAGTCTCACGGACCCCAATCACGGAGTCTACATCTACCAACATAACTCAGTCCACTTGTCAGTGATTCCCTGGATTTGTGTCATGTTTTGGTTTAGCCGCCCCTAGCTTTCTTCCAACCTACTCCTATATCACAAAACATCGCTCGTCGAATCAGTCAGTGGTTGGGCGTACGTAACTCATGTCCCAACCACCTCAATTGATGAAGTTTCAATACTTAATCAATGGATCGGCCATTTCTGCCCAGTACTCGTTTCCTAACGAAAGTATTGCTTACTTGGTTGTCTCAACTGGAAAATCTACTTTATATTGATATATAAGTGGTAAGATAGTGGAATTTGAGAATGTGAACACATTACACACCGGATTTTGAACTATTTAGTTGAATGTACTAAACGTGTTAAAGTTGATGTTTACGCTTCATGACTTGAATCTATTAGGATTCGCTTTAAAAACACCATTGTGTTGTATATATATATATACACAGACATACTTAAATATCGAGTCTATATAGCCAGCCATTGGGTTTATGTGTAATGTGAGAGTGAGATTGAAAATGTTGTATCCAACCGATAAGTTTCGAATCAAAACACAATACATATCCTAAATCCCGTTACTAACCGCTATCTATCTCTGTTTAATAATGCTTGGCTTGTCACATGGATTAGCAAAATCATGATTGTTTCGCTCAGTATGTAACACATATATGTGTCAAATGAGTCAAGCAATCATTAATCAACAGCAATGTAGAACTTTATACATACATATCAGTTCAAGTTGCCATACCATATTAGCACAGACAGACGGAATCGCCAATTCAAATAATCACATAGTAGTAGAAGTAGTCTCACTTACAATCGGATTCTTAATACCAGTATGCTTGATAAGTCTGAATAGTAGTTTACTGTTGCCTTTTCCATATCCCATCACTGTTTGCGATCATTGAGTAGGCTTTCTATCAGCCTGCACCTAAGCTGACTCCTGTCCTCATCGCACTCAATCAGAGCCAAGCGAGATGAACTTTCGAGCATCCATCAGTTCGGTAGATGTCACAACTGAGACTGATCAATTGCAATTCTATCTATGGATACTGAAGCTGACACACAACGAAGAACTTCGTATGTAAGTACATCAGTTTAGGTTGCCATACCGCATTAGCACAGAAACGCAATTGTCAGTTCAAATCCAAGAGTGATAGCGATAGTAGAAGTATTAGCAGTAATGGAGAAAATTAGGGAGCGAAGATATGATTCGAGAAGTATAATTCAGTAAGACAAATTTAGAAGGAGAAAGGTAGAGATTATGAGGAGTTCAGAAGGTTAGAATTGGAGAGAACACAAAGAGTGGATGCACCTGCGCCATTGCAAACAATTTTGAGCCATGTCGTTCAAGGTCTCTAACCATTGATGACTTTCGTCTCGCGGACCCCAACCAGGTAGTCGATACCTACCGACATGACTCAGTCCACTTGTCAGTAACTTTATGGATTTCTGCCATGTTTTGGTTTGGCCACCCCTAACTTTCTTCCAACCTATTCCTACACCATAAAACAAAGCTCGTCGAGGCAGTCGGTGGTTAGGCATACGTAACACATGTCCCAACCACCTCAACTGATGAAGTTTCATCACTTCATCTATTGATCTGCCATTCTTACCTAGCACCCTTTTCCTAATAACAGTGTTGCTCACTCGGTCGTTCCAGGATATACGAGCAGTGCTTCGAAGACGCCTATGATCGAAAACCAGTAACCTACGAATATCTTCTACTCTGACTGACCATCTTTCACAGCCATATAATAGGACGGAGCTAACTACTGCACAGTACACTCATCCTTTAGTCAGCAAACGGATATCTCGCCTAAGCCATAAGTGACGCAGGTTGACAAAAGCCAATCGAGCCTTCTGTATCCGAGCTGAGATTTCGTCAGTCACCAACCAGGCCATCAGCACTACTGATGAGACTCCCCAAAATAAGTGAAGCAGTCAACACGTTCGACTACTTCACTTCCTATCTATGAATGATGAGAAGATTTAGAAACAACCAATTGACAGGTAGGTTTTTACTGAGTTTAATACACACACACAAACATTTGACAGTGGATGAACACAATCGAGTAGTATATGTGAATGACTAGTTGTGCACGTTTGAAATCGAAGCTCAAAAGTGTCATCAGTGTACGAAAACGCTAATAATATCAGGGGAAAAATGAGTTGAATAAAGAAAGAAACAAAGAGATAGACTTAGACGCAGTCATCATTATACAAACGAAGGTTAAGAAGTTGGTGCTTGCTGGCGGTGAGGAGCGCGTATAGGCGGAGCTAATTAATGACTCACCAACCACCCACCAACCCACCCATCACCACACCCATAGAATCATCATGTGACACACACATACCTGACTAAACAGAAAGCATTTCTTACATCCTCTCCAGAATGTATCAAATCAACAGCTTGTATCCATGATCCAACAGATAATCTGGCAGATAAATCTGTATGCTTTGAAAAATATTGGAAAAAACAAAGAAAATATGTCAAATTTATAAATTTCCCGAATAATAATACTAATCAGTTGGTGTGTGGGTGTGTGTGTTTGTTTATTCAGTTATACTCGATATAAGTCAGTCAGACCCTGAATGATATGGCTCAAAATCGTTTGCTATGGCGCCGATGCATTTATTCTTTGTGTTCTCACAAATCCTAATCTTCTGGATTCTTCAACACCTCTATAGTTTTGACTTTATAAACTTTTCTCATTGAATCATACTTCTTGAATAATATCTTCTAATCCTAACCTCTCCGATTACTTCTAATACCTTTACCACCTACCTCTTCTACTATTGGATTTGAATTGACAATTATATCTCTGTGCTAATAATGTGGTATGGCAACATGAACTGATGTACTTACGTACAAAGTTCTACGTTGCATCTGACTTATGACTGATAATGTGTGTGTAGATGTATATGTTGCTTACTCACTAACTTACTTACTTATGCCTGCTACCCCTAATGCAACATAGGCCGCCGACCAGCACTGTCCAGCCTAACGTAGAAGAACTTCATACATAAGTACATCAGTTCAGGTTGCGATACCACATTAGCACAAAGAGATGCAATCGTCACTTGAAATCTAGTAGTGGTAGTGATAGTAGAAGTATTACTGCCAATCGAGAAGATTAGGGTTCGAAGATATTATACTCAAGAAGTATCATTAGGTGAGATAACTTTATTAAGAGAAAGATAGAGATGATGAGCAATTCACAAGGTTGGAATTTCATAGAGCACAACGAGTGGATGCATCTGTGCCACTGCAGACGATTTTGAGCCCTATCATTCAACTTCTCTAACCATCCAATACTGAAATCTCGCGCACTCCAACCACGTAGTCTACGTCTACCGAAATGACTCAATTCTCTTATCAGTGACTTCATACGTTTCTTCCAACCTACTCCTAAACCACAAAACATCGATCGTCAAAGCAATAGGTGATTGGGCATTTGTAACACATGTCCCAACCACCTCAACTGACGAAGTTTCAATACCTCATCTATTGATTACCCATCCCTACTTAGTACTTGTTTCTTAATGGAAGCATTGCTTACCCGGTTGTTCCAGGATACACGAGCAATGCTTCGAAGACATCTATGATCGAATACTAATGTCCTACTAATATCCTCAACTCTTACCGGCCATGTTTCGCATCTATATAGTAGAACGGAGAGAACTACACTGCGCAGTACATTCGACCTTTGGTTAGCAAACAGATGTCTCTTCACGACGCCATGGCTGACGCAAGTTGGCAAATGCCAATCGAGTCTTCTATAAACTCAACATAAAACCTGTTTAAATAGTCAAGAAATTTATATAAATCGGCAAAGCAAGGACAGTGTTTCTACAATTTAAAACAATTGTCAACCAACACCAAAGTCACAAATTTCAATACAGTTTTATTGTATGGGGTCAAAAGTTGGAGAACCACACAAAAGCAGCCAGAAATCATCAGCAACAACCTAATGTGGGTGAGAACAAACCAAATTCTAGCTGAGGAAGAAATCACGAACAAGCGTTGGAAGTGGATAGGACATATATTAAGAAGAGCAGCAAACTCAGTAACAAGACAAGCCTTCACTTGAATTCCTCAAGGTTAAAGGGGTTAAAGAGAAAGACCAAAGAACACACTACTCTGAAAAATGGAGAAAGTCTGAGGACAGAGTAGGCTGGACAGTGCTGGTCGGCGGCCTATGTTGCATTAGAGGTAGCAGGCATAAGTAAGTAAGTAAGTGAGTAAGCAACATATACATTTACACACACATTATCAGTCATAAGTCAGATGCAACGTAGAACTTCGTACGTAGGCACATCAGCTCATGTTGACATACTACATCAGCACAGAGATATAATTGTCAATTCAAATCCAATAGTATTAGAAGTAGTAAAGGTATTAGAAGTTATCGGAGAGGTTAGGATTAGAAGATATTATTCAAGAACTATGATTCAGTAAAAAAAGTTTAGAAAGTCAAAACTAGAGGTGGTGAAGAATCCAGAAGATTAGGATTTGAGAGAACACAACGAATAAATGCACCGGCGCCACTGCAAACGGTTTTGAGCCATGTCATTCAGGGTCTCTAACCATCGATTATTATCATCTCGCGGACCCCAACCACGTAGACGACAATTACCGACATGGCTCAGTCCACTCGTCAATGACTTCATGGATTGCTGCCATGTTTTGGTTTGGCTGCCCCTAGCTTTCTTCCAACCTCTTCCTACACTACAAAGCAAAGCTCGTCAAGGCAATGCTTTGAAGACACCTATGATCAAAAACCAGTAACCTACGAATATCTTTTACTCTCACTGGCCATGTTTCACAGCCATAAAGTAAGACGGAGCGAACTACTGCACAGTACACTCGTCCTTTAGTCAGCAAACGGATATCTTGCCTACGCCATAAGTGACGCAGGTTGAAAAAAGTCAATCGAGCCTTCTGTATCCGAGCTGAGATTTCGTCACACACACCACGCCATCGGCACTAATGAGACTCCTGAGATAAGTGAAGCGGTCAACATGCTTGACTACTTCACTCCCTATCACTAGTTCAGGTGTCGATGCAACTCAATCTTGAAGCAACATTTTGCACTTCGTGGGGGAAACTGCATCTCGAACATTCTTGCATTTTTGCTTCGGATGGTCAGAAGACTCTGCATTTTATCAGCGTCTTCACCAAGTAAGACTATGTCATCGGCATATTCCAAGTCAATAAGCGAGCCACCTGGTAATAGGTCTACTCCTGAAAATTCAGATGACGATAAGGTTATTTCTAAAAGCATGTCTATGATAAAATTAAACAAGAATGGAGAGAGTGGACATCCCTGACGGACACCACTTGAAGTAAAGAATTCCGATGACAGTTCGACAAAAGCTCTCTCATTCGGCCAGTAGTGTTCGAGTAGAGTGCTTGTATAAGGTTAATGTACTTACTTATTTGGTGTACATCTTTTAATGACAGACACTGCCACAGAACCTCACGACGATCCACTGAGTCAAATGCCGCCTTAATAAGGTCCAGGAAAACAATCCGTAACAGCACACACACACACACACATTATAATCAAAGTAAAATTAAATTTACCTCATTAAAATAAACAGAATCTAATGTTGAACTAAGTTGTTTTAATTCATTATCTGTCATGGTTTTCGTTCGATTAATTTGTTCAATATATTCTGTCTGGTGATAAAGTCTAAGCAAATCATTATTTGCTGGTTCAGGCTAAAATAGAAAATTGCGAGAACACAAAAATTCAAAACAAAGAAAATAATCAATAAAATTATGCAATTACTTGTTGAAAAGTAATATGTTAATTCTGATTGTGTCACTCACTATTCCAACTTATCCAGTTTATTTTTGTGTGTATTGGAGTTATATTACTTATTAAAATATTCAGTAACTTATGTTATTTTCAAACATTTTCAAGTATATGGAATATAGATTTAGTCAGTCAGTGGGGGCGTTGGCAGCAGATATGACGAAGAGGCAACGGCGGATGTCCCTATCTTTCCGAGTCCTTAATGTCCCGTTTAGTCGGACAGTGCAAAAGCGACTGTCTACTGGGATTCAGTCTAGGAGAGATAGTTCAGATCTACGACTCAATGCTATACCTACACCAGCGAGACCCCGGGAAGCAGCATCAGGGCTTCTAGATATACGAAGAGTAAATCGAGTTGCTTCTTTATCTTGAAATGGTGAGGTCAAGTCACTGATTCTACTCGGATCCTGTATGCGCGTTTTCGAGACGCAGCATACATTGATGGCGCGAGATTCTAAAGTCTTAGCTAAGGAAGCCTGTTGCCCTATTTGACACAATGTCCGTACATTAAAAGCTTCAATATGTAGTCTAGAACGTGGTTTCAAGAGACCAGGAATGATGTTTCGTGAACTCGCTTCATTTGCATTAGCAGTGCAGTGTGATAAAGGAATGTGAGAGGAGTTAGTCGTAGAGATAATAGAGATATTAGGAGGTGTATGAAGGATTTGATTATGACCGATTTAGTCTCACGTGCTGTTACGGGTATGAGTGCGGATGTCACTTCTCGGCTGCCCACACCGTGGAAGGGTGTTTCTTGAGGAATCTGAAAAAGACGATAGATTAGTGTTGGTCTTAGAGACCTGGGAGCGTGACCGCAGAGTCCACGAAGGGACAGCCGCTTGAGGCCGGTCAAGCACGACCTTTTTATGAAAGGATTTTCGAGTATTAGCTCCGTTCTTAAAGGCCCTTAGTGGGCACCCTTACCCAAGGAGACGGAAATCCGTGAGGTAGGGTGAGGTGAGACATTTTTAGGGTCGACCTTTTCTAACCCTTCCTTCCTTGTGAGAAGGCGGCATCGCTGCAGATGCTGGTTGTCCAAGGGAAACACCTTACTGCTGTCACACCCCTCCATCACAGTCAGCAGTACGACTTCGCCCTCAGACCTTGGTTAGCTGCTTTTAGTCTCATCGTTCTCCAATCGACCAGCCTGGCATAGTAGGACCTGCAGGAACATATGTTCCAGCCAGTATAGCTCGGTTGGGTCATCACGATAGGCAAGCCCGACCACCACGTCAAGGTAGCAGCTACGGTCGAGGAACGTATAAGCAGATATTGTTGCTGCTTTCACAGCTTTTTAGATATATCTCCAAACTAATTCACGGTGGGTATCACTTACTACATAGCACTGACCAACTTGGTTTTCTAGTTGATCATGAAATATATATACTCATGGTTTGTTGTGTCTTTATCCTAAGTCCAATAAAGCCGTAGACAACAAATATGTGTTTACACTAGAGCACATGATTTGAATCCAGTTGAGGTGGTTGGGACATGTGATGCGTATACCTAACCACCGACTGCCTCGAAGAGCTTTTTTTTGTAGTGTAGGAGTAGGTTGGAAGAAAGTTAGGGACAGCCAAACCAAAACATGGCAGCAATCGATGAAGTCATTGACGAGTGGACTTAGCCATGTCGGTATTTGTCGACTACCTGGTTGGGGTCTGCGAGATGATAATAATCGATGGTTAGAGACCTTGAACGACATGGCTCAGAATCGTTCGCAATGGCGCCGTTGCATTTATTCTTTGTGTTCTCTCAAATCCTAATCTTCTGGATTCTTCAACCCCTCTAGTTTTGACTTTCTAAACTTTTCTCACTGAATCATACTTCTTGAATAATATCTTCTAATCCTAACTTCTCCGATTACTTCTAATATCTTTACTACCTCTTCTACTATTATGGGATTTGAATTGACAATTACATCTCTGTCTTAATAATGTGGTATGGCAACATGAACTGATGTACTTACGTACATACAAAGTTCTACGTTGCATCTGACTGACTGATTTGAATCTAAGCATTTGTTTCAGAACAAGTGGTAGTCTTCTATTGAGCCTTTCTCTCTCTCTCTCTTGGCAAATAAACATCTTTTTTATACACTGTAAGTGATATGAATTATACATTAAATTCAAATAAATTAGTATAAAATAAAACTTACATTGATAATTAAACAACGTGATAACAGTCCATAAATTGTACATTTATCAATTGTTGTAGAAAATCGTTCAGGACATTCCACAAAATTCGGAAACCATACATTTTTATGCAATAACATACGTTCATCGTATACAAAAGCAGTTCTATTAGATGTACGTGTGTACGTGTACAAGATAAATTTTTTTGTTGACTGTTTACTTACCTTTTGCTATGTTGTTTATCAAAATACTGTAGGGTTTTCTGTTTTTTTTTTAGTCAAAAGAAATTGAAAACAGTTGTTAGATTAAGGTGTAATTTGTTGAGCTTACATTATTTTGACGATTGTCAGCCAATGCAAATGTAATCGATATATCTTTATGACTACTACCAGTTGGCGTTTTGTAATGATGTTTACGTCGTGCACTATTAGGCTGAAAATTGAAAAAAAAAGAAAACTTTATTAGCAAAAATCGCATTGATTGGAGAAGAATACGTGATAATGCACTATTTGATATTAGTTGTTTAAAGGCGGTGGATTTCGTTATGGGTTAATATTAGTTAAGTCAGTCAGTCCGCCGCCACCGCTTCCTTCCAGTCTAACTCTAGACTGTAAAACATCGCTCTTCGAGGCCAGTCGATGATTGGCCATACGTAACACATGTCCCAACAATATCAACTGATGAAGTCTCACTACTTTACCTTTACCTAGTACCCGTTTCTTAACAACTGCATTGCTTACTCAATTGTAGCAGGATATATAAGCAATACTCTGAAAACATCGATGATCGATTACTAATAACCTCTTCATACCCTGTACTCTTAGTGGCAATGTTTCACACTCATATAGTAGGATGGGACGAACTACTTCACAGTACACTTGTCTTTTGGTTAACAGACAGATATCTCGCTTACACTATAAGTGACGCCTGTTGACAAAAGCCAACTGACATTTTGGGTATCAGTGCTGAAATTTCGTCCATCACCAGATCATCAGCACAGCACTGATGATGAAGCGGTTAACACGCTCAACTAACTTCACTTCCTATTACTAGTTCAGGTACACTGATACAAGTCAATCGTGAAGCAATATCTTGCAATTCGATAAAAAGGGAGAATCATATTCTCAAAATGAGAATTTGACATTTTATCTATTGCTAAGAATTCTACATCAGTCAGTCAGTCAGTCAGTTGCAACGTGAGAACTTCGTACATATGTACATAAGTTCATGTTGACATACCACATTAGCACAAAGACGCAAATGTCAAACCAAATCCCATAGTGATAAAGATAGTAGGGGTATTGATGGTAATGAAGAAGACTAGGGTTTGAAGATATTATTCAAGAAGTATAATTCACTGAGATTAGGTTAGAAATACAAAGGTAGAGGTGCTGACGAATCCAGAAGATTAGGATTTGAGAGAGCATAATGAATGGATGTACTTGCGCCATTGCAAACGATGTTGAGCCATGTCGTTCAAGGTCTCTAACCATCCGTGACTTTCATCTCGCGGACCCCAACCAGGTAGTCTACATCTAACATGACTCAGTCCACTTGTCAATGACTTCATGGATTTGTGCCATGTTTTGGTCTGGCCGCCCCTAGCTTTCTTACAACCTGCTCCTACACTACAAAACATAGCTCGTCGAGGCAGTCAGTGGTTAGGCATACATAACACATGTCCCAACCACCTCAACTGATGAAGTTTCAATACTTCATCTATTGATCTGCCATCCTTACCTAGCACCCGTTTCCTAACGACAGCATTGCTTACTCGGTTGTCCCACGATATACGGGCAATGCTTCTTAAACATCTATGGTCGAATACTAGTAACCTATGAACATCTTCTACTCTTAACGGCCACGTTTCACAATCATATAGGAGAACGGAGCGAACTGCTGCGCAGTACACGCGTCCTTTTGTTAGCGAACGAAATTTATTTCATAACGAGATTTATTTCATAAGAGTTTCATGATTTTGATTTTGAACAATAACCAAATGAAATGTCAAAGTATAAATTTGTGAATAAATTAAAACTTACTAGTGATGAATCTAATGATGAGTTTTCTGACATTTGTAACTCTATTCCACAAGTGAACTTTTCATTGAAAAACAGAAAATAACAACAGGTGTTCGTGTGAAATTATGACGAAAATTTTAAAAAAAAAGAAGAGAAAAATTGAATTAACACTGGAGCGCCGTTTTTATGTGCTCTGTTTAAACCTAACCATATCAACCTAAGTAAGACACATGGCATTAGCTCATGAATTTATTGTCAGTCAATCAGTTACAACGTACAAGAACTTCGTACATAAGTACATCAGTTCAGGTTGCAATACCACATTAGCACAAAGAGATGCAATCGTCACTTCAAATCCAATAGTGGTAGCGATAATAGAAGTATTACTGCCAATCGAGAAGATTGGGGTTCCAAGATATTATTCAACAAGTATCATTACGTGAAATTATTTTATTAGGAGAAAGATAGAGATGATGAGCAATTCAGAAGGTTGGAATTTCATAGAGCACAACGAGTGGATGCACGTGTGCCACTGCAGACGATTTTGAGCCATGTCATTCAAGGTCTCTAACCATCTAATACTGAAATCTCGCGCACTCCAACCACGTAGTCTACGTCTACCGAAATGACTCAATTCTCTTATCAGTGACTTCATACATTTCTTCCAACTTACTCCTAAACCACAAAACATCGATCGTCAAGGCAATAGGTGATTAGGCATTCGTAACACATGTCCCAATCATCTCAACTGATGAAGTTTCAATACATCATCTATTGATTAGCCATCCCTACTTAGTACTTGTTTCCTAATGGAAGCATTGCTTACTCGGTTGTCCCAGGATACACGAGCAATGCTTAGAAGACACTGACGATCAGTAACCAGTTACCTATAAATATTTTCTACTCTAACTGGTCATAATTCATAACCAATTGGACTAGACATAACAAGGTTGACAGGTGTGAATAGTAAATCGAGAAAAATGGATTAAGTAGTTTGTCCAAAGTCTGAGACAAGCCTTATGGCTTCGACATTACAGACTCTTAGTGGCTATAGATAGTTTAAAACCTGACCAACCTGAGTGTAAAGAAGTAAAGGTGAACTTGGTTGCGGGGGGGGACATATATGACATACTTAAGATAATTTGAAATGCATACAACGTGTATTATGTCAGATTTTTGCTATTTTCTTTAGCCACGAGTAAAATGGTGAGAATTTCTCACATGATTCCTTTAATGAGGAAATGTTTTAAAACCAACACCATGGTTTCCCTATATGAACAACAGATAATTTAATTTTTTTGCTTAGTTTGCTTTGAAGCCACATTTTCCAACACATCCTAGAGACTGTTTATCAACATATTGTTTCCTTTATTTCCTATTTTCTGGTTGCTTGGATAGTTATATTTGAATATTTTCTTACACCCTTCAAATTTTGTACGATATATTACCATACTGAACTTAATAATAACTCTCTAGTGCATTTTTATAGCTATGCTTAGTCCTAGATTGAAAACTTAGCGAAGGAATTCAACAAAGTAAGCAAACCAACCTGCACACAATTAATAACAACAGTAGCACAATTGTTAATTTGGCGCTCCTCTATATATACAACTTATCCAATATCCAATGTATCAAATATATTTTTCACGAGCTAGTATAAACCAGTTGATTTCTTTGCACTCGATTCTTGTTCGTTTGGCACGTTTCTAGGTGTTAGGTAGTTTTCAATGAAAAGGTGTCTAACCACTCAACTGTCTAATTCTAGTCAGATGGCAGTGGTTTGTGAGTTTGTATGTCCCATGATTTGAATGAATACGTTTGTTTCAGGACATTAGGGTTTCTGGATACCAGAAGCTATCACATTATTTGCAGTATGGAGAATAATAAGTAGAAAAGTTTAGTGCTAGTAAGAATAGGATTTCAGGACTAAGTAAATAGTGGATAATTCAGTTTAATAATTTGTAATGAGGACCGAAACGTAACTAAGGGAGAGGGAACATAGACAATAGGTGAAATATATCAGGTAAGTGATCTTAGGAGATGGCAGTTATAACGAATAGAAAGTTTCAAGGCATTAACTAGGTACGAATTCTTCAAGAGGGAGACGGGAATCCGTGTGTGAGTACGTATTTATTAATTCTATTGTTAAAGCTGTCCACTGAGAGTGCTGTGGTCTGTCTTCGTAAGTTTTATTCCTTAACCCTTTCATCCATTTCGTTGCTCGTCTCTCTACTCGACCCAAGAGATTTATGTGCGACAACGTTGTGAACTTAAAGGTGTGGCGAGCATATGTCCTAAACAACCTTAAGAATTATCCTGGGGTAATAACACAAAGTTGCCTGTGCATAAAGTGAAGAGTTGCATTTACCTTGACTGCGTCCCCTATATAGTTGAAGATGGTGTGGAGGTTTTCAATGGTTAATAAAGTGAAATTGAGCTCTGAGGAGCATTAGGGAGTGGACTTCCATTGAGGCTGCAAATCGTTTGTGTCATGTAGGGCAGAATGTACATGACGTAACACTAGACTAGTTTAGTTTTAAACCGTTTTTCACAGTCCATTTCTCAATAGCTGTAAGGTCCTTTTGACACTCAGTCTAATCCTCTTCGCTTCTAATGGACCTCCAGATCAATGCCGGTGAGCTAACTGCGTCTAACAGCTAGTTAATTAATTAAAGGAAGTGAAGTGAACCTGAGAGTGTCTCCTGCAAAACTCCAGATGTTGAGACTCTCCAACTCGCGTGCACCCTACTTACCTTGGTACGAAACTTTCTATTCTCAAGGTAGTTTCCAAGCCAAGATACGAGTGGGTCAGTGAAGCCCAGTTCTGCGACATTTGCGATTAGGCATGCTTTGGGTTCTGTGTCTAATGCGTTTTCAAAGTCTAGAAATATTATGTGTACGGGTATTTTTAAGTCCCAGCAAGATGTTCAGCTGTCCCGTACGATGAGAAGATTAAATGCGCACGACCTGACTTTCCGAAACCCGTGTTGAGCTTCATGGAGTATTTCGTTCTTATCCATGTACTCGCTCTTTTTGTTCGTCCACCAGCTTTCCATTATCTTCGATACTACTGTTAGGAATGCGACTGGTGTGTAACAGGTTGGGTCATTCCTATCTCCTCCTTTGAAGATTGGAGAGAGATTAGCTTATTTCCATTCAGCTGGGAATTGGTGTGACTCCAGTGAATGCCTGAACAGGTCACATATTGGTGAACAGAGGGCTTCCGTACATTGTTTCAAGACGACGAGGCGAATATTGTCACAACCTGGTGACTTTCCTGGGTGTAAGGATTTTAGTTTCCTTTGTATTAAGTCAGATGCAATACAGATATTCTCAAAGCCGTCAGCTGGCACTGGGTCAGCGTAGTACTCTGGACATGTGGATACCTTGTTTAACTGATCGGTGAAGTTGGTGTTGAATATCTCAGCCGTCTCTCGGTTGTTGAGGTCTTTGAAAGAACAGAAACACTGATCTGTAGGTTTTATTTTGTCGTGAACCTATACAGATGCTTAGGCTTTGCCTGTATTTGGACAGCGTCTCCTATCTCTATGAACTCTGAAATTTTATCTGTTTCTTAATGGCAAGTAAGAAGTGTGGTAGAAATCATTCAAGAAGTCCATCCTTTTGTGCCAGGCCCTCCTACTCGCTTGTAGTAAGCGTTCAATGCAGCGCCTTATCGATGATTTTTTATTTCAGGTGTTTGTCGTGACTGAGGTAAATTGTCTACGATAGCATTCTGGATGGTGTCTCTCACAGTTTGCCAGCGATCATCTGCTCTTATCCTCCCCTACTCCCGTGGCCAGTGTGCATGTAAGAGGATCTCTCCCATACGCGTATAATTTGTCCTAGTGTGGAAAAGATAGGGCTCAGTGCCTCAGTCAGGTCTTTTCGATTCCTGAGTCTCACAGCCATCAAACGTGGTGGGTCAGTGGATGTGAGATGTGACGGGCGAGGCAGCCTGGGAATTCAAATGGCCATCGTGGTTAGAAGGCTCAGGTTACATGATAGCCACCACCTGTGATGCACATAATGCACGTGAGCTTCATCCAAGCTACCACTGGCCAGTTCAGCCACCCCGTGAACTACCATGTTGGTCTGCTCTCGGGTGCCGGATGTTGTTGATGTTGATGTTCATACTGACTGCGGAAAAATACATAATGACAACAAAAAATAAAATGTATTCTGAAACGATTTACTTGGGAGAATGTTGAAACATCTGGGAATAAACTAATCCAACACGTTCTATAGAATAGAATATTTTATTACCAACTTTTGAAGACATTTCACAATGGAATGGTGAATCAATCATTGTTAGAGCAGGAAAAGAAAGTAAGAAGCAGTGATCAGCCGTTTCGTTTGAACACGAGACTCTTCACCATTGCGCATTCGCGATGGACACATCACTATTGGTATCGTGCGCCCACGTTAAACGTCGATACCGGCGGACACGCAACAGTGTCAGTGCATAACCTTCATCAGCGTATTTTGCACAGCCTCACCTGTTGTCCCGTGGTTGTTACTGTATACACTCGATGCAAGTGAACACCACTCATTACGGCTTCTGAGTACAACCTCGAAAATTTCGTCACTGATATGCGACATTTAGGAATTTTCATTTTATAGATATGAAAATTGTTGTTTCATGTAAAGATATTGAATAAACATTTGCTGGACATAAAAAACAAATCGGAATAACTGTTTGTTCGGCTGATTTCACTGAATTGGTGACTAAATTTGAAATATGTAGAGACCTTGTGTAACCTCAGTGATTTACATTATTAGTGACTGTTTGAAGGCTGTTTTAGGAAAATCCTTCCTCGTAAATATCAGTAATATGCTCTTACTGACTCGTTCTGTGCTACATTTTGGTATTCTGTTTGATGCCATTTTGTGATGTTCATATTTGTATTTTGTTACAGTTTCTAATTTCATACCTTTATTGGCGTTTTTATGTTTTCTACTGAACTGTATTATGTTGTTTAAATTGATACTTAATTCTGGCGTCAGCCATATCGTATTTGATACTTTGGCGGGTGAAACGTACATCTGGACTG